GGAGAGAGAGGAAGAGAGAGAGAGGGAAACATCGATGTGAAAGGGACACATCGAGTGGCTGCCACCCGCACGACCAACCAGGGCCGGGGACAAACTGCAACCGAGGTACGTGCCCTTAGCGGGAACCGAACCCGGGCCTCTCCGGACCGCAGGTGGACACTCTAACCGCTGAGCCAAACCGGCCAGGGCTGGGCTCACTTCTTTGCCATAACATTTCTAGGAGCCAAAGCAGCGCCACCCGGCTCTCCCGTTGCTTCCATCCTAGGCCCTTCCTTATTTCACTGTCCCCAGCTTGAATAAATGTACTCTCAAAATAAAAATTAAAAAAAGGAATTTAATCTGTGTAATGACAATGAGGAGGTCTTAGGGGTTATGGAAAGATGGCAGGGCCAATGGATTTTTGGAGTTGAGTTTCTGAAAGGAATGAACTAGACAGGAGATAGGTAGCGGGCAAGATGCATGAAATTAAGGTTCTGAAGGGGCTCTGGTTATTGAGACAAGGTCTAGGTGTGACCATGGGAGGAGAGGCCAGGATGGTCTGAGGATCACCTACCTGGATATGAAAATCACCAAGAATGAGGAGAGGAGCAGCACGGGAGACAGTGAGCTGGGAGCTAAAATCACGGAGAAGTGAGGAGTAGGGATGGATCATCAGCAACTGGTGACTAGATAAGCAAAACGCAGCAATATCCATACAGTGGAATGATGTTTGGCTGCAAAGAGGAATGAAGTGCCTCTTTGTACTTCATCTCAAGGGTGCCCCTCGAAAACAATGCTAAGTAAAATCATCCAGACACAACAGTTCACATATTGTCTCGATTCCACTTATATGAAATGACCAATAGAGGCAAATCCATAAAGACAGAAAGTAGGTTAGTGGTTGCTGGGGTTGACGGGAGGTGACTATTAATCTGTATGGAGTTTCTGTGTGTGGTGGGGTGATGAAAATGTTCTGGAATTAGACAGTGGTGATGGTTATACAACTCTGTGAATTTACTAAACAGTCTGCTTTCAAAGCAGATCCACAACTTGCCCATGTCAACCCTTCCACGGCCCCCACCCTGATCCCATCCACCTTCTTTTTCAGCCTGTTCCATTGAATAGGCCTCCTGTCTTCCTCTCCCACTCCACACCCCAGTGTTTCCCACACCCACAGCATGCAGCTGCAGGACTCCTGTGAATACCTGAGCTGGATCAGGGCCCTCCCCTGCTCAGAACCCTCCTGTGGCTCTACCTCAAAGTCCTGGTCCTCCCCATTGACCAGGAGGCCCCTCAAAGACTGCCCTCCCCCATTTTTCTGACAGCATGGTTTACCATTTGCCCCTCATTCACTCACTCCAGCCACAGAGGCCTCTAACAATTCCTGGAACACACCAGGCACATTTTGACCTCAGGGCCTTTGCACTGGCTGTACCCTCTGCTTGAAATGCTCTTCCCCAGTATCCACATGACTTCTTCTTTCCCCTTCTACAGGTCTTTGCTAAAATGTCACCTTCTCAGTGCGGCTTCCCATGAATACCCTTTTGGTCATAGCCAACTTCTCCCATACACTCCTCATTCTCCTTCCCTGTTTTATTTTTTGTAACAGTTATCACCATCTGATACAATGTTGTACTTCTATTATGCTTTTTCCATATCTTGGTCACCATTTTATGTCAGGCTCAATAAACATCTGTTGCATGACTGAATGACCTCAGGGTAGGTCCTTAGGAGGATTAAAACATACCCACTTCTGGCCCCCAAAGAGCCAAGATTCTAATGAGGAGACAGAAATTAAGCAAAACTTGAATTTGCACGTGGCAATAAGAGCAGAGGGAGATAAATGGGGAGCCAGGATGATCACTGTGAATGGAGGCTAACTAGACCGGGGTGGTCAGGAGGTGACATCCGAGTTAAGGTCTGTCAGATGAGGAACAAGGCTCTGGGAGAAGAGTACTCTAGGCAGAGGGAACAGCCAGTGCCAAGTCAGGAATGAATCTGGGCGTTTGATGAACAGAAGGAAGGCCAGTGTTTGTGCTGTCCTGTCCAGAAGAGTGGAAAGGCTTACGCATGGATTCAGGTAGGCCTACAAAGGTCAGATCATGCCTCAGGGGTTGTTGAGGGTATCTGCTTGCTTTCAGAAGCTGCTCAGCTATGGTGATTTTTCAACTGGTCTTTCCCCACGCTGGGCCTCCGTTTTCCCTAATCCATGAAATGGGGAGGGGGGGGCTTCTAATGTCCTCTCTGCTTCCAGACTTCTCAGCACTCCTTGAGACCGCTCTATGAGGCAGGTGCTATTACCTTCCTTCTATTGGAGGAGAAAACTGAGGCCCAAAGAGGCTAAATCCCTTTCCTAAGGCCACAGAACTACAGTGTGGCCTCTGCGGGCACTCTGGCCCCAGCCTGTGCCCTTCACCTCCACGGCATATTGCGGCCCCCATAACCCTAACAGGCACTGCAGTGTAGTGGTTACACACCTTTAGCAGCAGGCAAATCCTGCTATGCCACTCACAAGCGGTGGGATTCTGGGCTGGTCGCTTATGTCCCTTGAGCCCACTTCCCCATTTGTACAATGTGCACCCCAACATTTACCTCAACCAAGAGAACACTGACTAGGAGGAATAAGGCATGGTTTCCAAACAACTACGCCACTTTCAGTGCGGGAAAGAGGGGGTTAAGGAGTTGGGGGTATTTGGGGAAAAGGGACTCGGAGCCGGAACGCAGTGGCCCCAATGTCTTGGCACTCCCTTTGCGCGTTGTCTTCCACTCCGGAGTAACTCTCGGTCTGCACCCCCACGCCCCATTTTTTTTCCAGGCTGAAAAGAGGTCGTGGTCCCTTTAAGGCCCGTCCCTCCCTCTCCCAAAACTTCCCAGTGTCGGCTCTCTTTTCGATTCCGGACGGCCGGCCAGGCTCGCCGCGGAGCTGGTAGGGGTTAGGGACGAGGGGTCCAGGAGGGTGCGGGGGGGATGGGTGGGAGGCGCCGCCCGCCGCCAGTAGCCGCCGCCGGAGCGCGAGGGGGGAGGGGCGGAGGCCAGGAGCACAAGGAGGGAAATACCGCGGCCTCCGGGTCGCCTGCTACGGGCGCGCGCGGGCAGGCGAGCGGCTGGGAACTACCGCGCAGAGGACAGTTCCGACGCGTCCCGTCCGCGCGCGCCGGCGCGAGGGGCGTCCGGGCCGGGCGCGGGGGCGGGGAGGGGTGGGGCCCCTCTCTCCCCCTCCCCCCACCGCATTCCTCTGACGTCCGGACCTCACGACCCCGCCCTTCAGTGGGAGCAGCCCCGCCTCGATCCGGACGCCCGGATCACATGTTGAAGGCGAGGCACCGCCCCTCATCTCGGTTCTGGGGCCTTTTTGGATCTTCCCAGTGTGACTGGTTTAGATCCGCACCCCCAACTTTCCTATCTCCGCAAACCAGCAGACCCACGAGGCCAGCCCCACGCTCTTAGTGCCACTAACCCCATTTCAAACTTAGGTTCCACGAGGACCCCTATTTCGGGAACCTCCCCCCTTTCACTTGTACGGAAAGGTTCCGGAGTGTGTATTTGGTGGCGTCCCCCGCATTTCCCATGACTCTGTCATCGTTTTCTAAATGCAGTATCCCGCTCCCCCACCCCCGCAGGCAGCCCCCTAACACTTGAGCCCTTAGGGTGTTATTCTGGGTCAGCGGCTGGCCCCGCCCCTAGGTTCCGGGTCTGGGCGTCGTTGGACCCTGGACTCTGAGGAAGTGCATTCTGTGCGGGGTGGCCCGCGGTCCCGGAGGAAGGCAGGTCCACCGGTCGCTTAGAATAGGTAACGACTCCCGTCTGCTGAGCGCTGGGTGTGTACAGGGTGCCTGGTAGGCGGACCAGCCCCACTATCGCTGAGGCAGGGAGCACCGTTCCCTCCCATATATGACTTGCGTGCTAATGGAAGAGACAGGGGTCAGGGCTGTCCCGAGAAAATCCTTGGCCGGAGTGATCAGGGGTTATGCGGGGAACGCCTGGGTTCTGGGCTGGCAGGGACGAGGAAAGCTCTTCCGAGTTAACAGACCGCACGGACAGAAATCATTCTTTAGCTCGGGCAGGAAGGGTAGTATTCTAGGTGGAAGGGACTGCCCCCGGGAGGATCTAGAGGTGCGGCAGCAGATGCTTCCAAACTGAAAGGAGTTACTGTGGCTGAATTGAGGTGGAGTGGTGAAATGACGCCAGCGAACTGGATAGGGTCCGAAAGGTTTTATACTGACGAAAAGGACGAATTTGGGTTAGAAAAATCCTTCCGGTTTAAGGTGGAGAGGAATGCAGTATAGTCACGCGAACAGAGCTGCACTGGCAGTTGCCCCTCTGGTCTAGCCTTCCAGAGCGGTACACAGCAGTCACTCAATAAATACTCTGGGTACTCCAGGCCTTCGTTCCTTTAGAGGGTCGCCCCGCCTCCCGAGGCGCCCGAAAACATTTGCGCATGCGTTCTCGTCTCCGATCATTTCCTGGACTGCGCCAAAGAGCGCCTGCCGGGTGGCTCCCCTTTTTCACCCAATCGGAGACCACCAGTGGTCCCGTCGTCTGGTGAGGGAGACGCAGAAAATGGGCATCTGCAGTAACCACTGGAGAGAGGCTAAGGGGAGGGCTCCCTTGTCTTCTTGCCGAGTGGCGCGGGAAGGTAGTCGTCGTGACTGGAAGACTAAGGGCTTTCGGTTTGATGGATTAGCAAAAAAGCCAATGAAAGTGGGAAGGAGGCGGGGCTTTTCAGGCGCGTGGAGAGCGCGGTGCCAGAATTCCGACCTATCAAATTGGAGTTTATTTTAAGTCAGCAGAGTCAGTGAAATGACTGGCAGAAAGCGCTGGCCTATAACGAGTGTACCAAACAAACGAGGGCGGGCCCTCCTGCAGAACGGAGTGGGTTTTATCCAATAGGGGCTCAAGGCATGCGGAGGCTTCCTCCCCCCGCGGCGGGACCGGTGGCTCCCCCTATCGGGTGGGGGCGGCGGGTGACGGGCGTGTCCCTCCCCCAATGAGAGGCGGGGGGAGGCGGGTTCTGCGCCGCCATGTCGCGGAGGCTGCTGCCCCGGGCGGAGAAGCGGCGTCGGCGGCTGGAGCAGAGGCAGCAGCCGGAGGAGCAGCGGAGGCGGTCGGGAGCGATGGTGAAGATGGCGGCGGCGGGCGGCGGAGGCGGCGGTGGCCGCTACTACGGCGGCGGCAGTGAGGGCGGCCGGGCCCCGAAGCGGCTCAAGACTGACAACGCCGGCGACCAACACGGAGGCGGTGGCGGCGGTGGTGGAGGAGCCGGGGCGGCGGGCGGCGGCGGCGGGGTGAGGCCAGGGCCCTAGGCTCGGGTGTGGCCTGGATGGGAGGGAAAATTTCCCACTTTGAGAGTATTTCTTGGGAAGAGGGGGCCTCTGCGCACGCGCCCCTGCCCTCGCGCCGTTGACGGGGTGGGGGAGGGGCGGGCGTTAGGCAAACGGCGGGGTTTGCGCGAGGACAGACGCTTGCGTGTGGGCGCTATTTGGAGTAGGGAGCTCGCGCTGCGGTTGATGTAGTGCGCAGGCGCCGCGGGCTGGTGTGGGTGGGGGCGGGCACGCGGCCGGGACGCTTTTAATTCCTCATTTTTTTCCCCCTGGCCCCATGCGCAGGCGCAGTTCTCCCGCCTGGGCCTCGTGGGCTGTTGGGGGGGCACCGCGTGAGCGGGAATGAGTGGGTGGTGGCCTTTTCCGCGCCTGAGAGGAGTTACGTCTGATCCCTAATCTTTATAGCGCCGTGGTTTTTCTCGAAGTGGAAATCAGTTTGAGGATAGTGCCTCTAGAATAGATCATGTTCCCTATTTTGCGGGCATTGAAAACCGGAAGGCTTGTGAAAGGTCTTTTTAGCCGTTTGGGAGTTGAGCCAAGCTCTGGAGCCATCACAAGTTTGCTTATCATTTGCAGGGCTTAACTGGGTGCAGGGGGTTTGATGAACCAAAATGTTCCCAGCGGGTGGGCGTTTTGGAAGGGATTCAGCCTCTTTAGTCTGCTCCGAATAGATCACCAGTTGTTCCTTCTGGCTTAGAGCCCATTCCCTCCTCCCTCAAGTTCATCGAGCCTCTCCCGGTCAGCCATTTGCAGGGTTTTCCAGGGCTCAGCTGCTATCTGTACTATGATTTATTAGCATTTTAGTCTTCTAGGCCTTGTTCCACACATTTTAAAGGTATCTTTCTTGAGTTTCCAACATTTCTCTGTGAGATAGGGGATGGTATTAACTAATTTTTTGACTTTCAAAGATGAGGTAAATTCATTTAGGTCATATACCTAGTGAGGGAAGGGACTAGAATTAGAACTCAAGGCTGTGGAACTCCAAACTGTTGAACCTGGTAACCATCAGGCATGGGTGAGCCTTCTGTTTGTGTTGTTGATTCCTGAAATAGAATCCAGTTTTCTGCCTGCTAGTTCTTGGGCAGGAGGCTAGGCCTAGAGCCCACCAGAGGTAGAGACTTTTTTCCCCTCCTGATTTTGAAAGGCTTCTGTCTGTAGATGGAAGTTTCTCTTCTTTCTGAAAGTCATTCCTCACTCTTTTTCTGTAGTTTGGCCTAGGTTGTGTTTCCCAACATAGATTTTGGTGGTTTGAAAGTGATTAAAGACTAGAAGTAGTCAAGATTGGCCTGGCTGCCAGTTTCTGAGGCACATGCTCTTTTATCCTGACTGGACCTAGGAAAAATGGTGGGGAACCATAATGCTTGGCTGGGTGATGGTTGTACCTTGCTGTACTGGGACAGGGAAAAGAAGTTGGGGCAGGTGCAAAGGGCATTCCTGATTCAGTCTGCAACAGAGTTGTGTGAGCCCTTCCTGCCACCGGTGTCCACTTTCCAAGCAGCCCCTTTTCCCCATTTTTTTGGACCAGTGGGAAGAGACAAGGTTTTGGGAGGAATGTAACATAAGTGATCTGCCTGGTCCTCCCTTCTGCTTTCCTCAGAAGCGACAGCATTAGATAAGTGGCCACCCACTCAGGGCCTTTTGCTGTGTTGGCCCAGCATCCTTTTGGGTGATTGGCTTAAACTGCCATCCCTTGTCTGAACTGTGTGTCCTTCCTGGGAGACACGCGACTGTTTTATCTGACTGGGTCCTCAGCAACACAGAGGCCAGTGAGCCACCATCTTGTACTGCTGGAAATAAAATCTTGTTTTTGCTTTCTTTCTCAGGAGAACTACGATGACCCGCACAAAACCCCTGCCTCCCCAGTTGTCCACATCAGGGGCCTGATTGACGGTGTGGTGGAAGCTGACCTTGTGGAGGCCTTGCAGGAGTTTGGACCCATCAGGTATTCCACTCAGAGGCCAAGGGTTGAGTATACTGAGAAGCCGACTCTTTGGTGGTGTGTGTGTCACTGGTTGCTGGTTGGAAGTGACTTGGCCTTTTTATTTTAGTCCAGGGTCCTTGGCTAGGTCCTGGGGCTCCTCTGTTCTTGGAGTTGGCCCTTGTACTTTGGGTCAGGTTTTGGCAAATTCCATGCCTTCTCTTTTGTTTCTCTACATGGTACCATCTAATTAGCATTTTCTTATTCAACACCTTTTCACTGAGTATGTGACATGTGCTAGATAATGGGAATGGAGCATGAACAAAACTATTCTGGACTCCTCTAGGATAATTGCCCACACAGTGACTACAGCTGTTATAGGGGAAGTTCAGGAGTCTATGGGAGGCATTTGAATGAATCAGGGTCAGGAAGAAAGGCTTTCCAGAGGAGGTAATGCCAAAGCTACACCTCTTGCCTTCCCTGCCACTTATTACAAAAGCTGTTCTGGTCAGGAAACCATGACAAGGGTACACAGGAGTTCGGAGGCCAGGGACAAGTCAATTCACAGGAAATTGAAAGCCACTGTCTTGTTGCCATTCTGTCATTCTTGTCTCCGTCCTCCTGAGAGGATTGAAACCTGTGTTCTCTCTCATCAGCTATGTGGTGGTAATGCCTAAAAAGAGACAAGCGTTGGTGGAGTTTGAAGATGTGTTGGGGGCTTGCAACGCTGTGAACTACGCAGCCGACAACCAAATCTACATTGCTGGTCACCCAGCTTTTGTTAATTACTCTACCAGCCAGAAGATCTCCCGTCCTGGAGACTCAGATGACTCCCGAAGTGTCAACAGTGTGCTTCTCTTTACCATCCTGAACCCCATCTATTCCATTACCACGGTGGGTGCCAGTGGATATTCCTTTAGTGTTCTCTGTGAGGTCTTCCTTCTTCCCTTTCTCTCTGTCCCCAAACCAGACTGACCTGCCAGGGTCCCTTCATTTTGCCTGTCTTTGTTTTTACAGGATGTTCTTTACACTATCTGTAATCCTTGTGGCCCTGTCCAGAGAATTGTCATTTTCCGGAAGAATGGAGTCCAGGCCATGGTGGAATATCCTTTGCAAGGGAATAGGTGTTCCTTGGGATGGGGACTCAGAGCTGGGCAGGGTGCCATCCTTTTAACCAGAGTGTATCTATTGAATGCCTGCTGTATGCCAGATGCCTTCATAAAGCCCGTAATCTGATGGGAGGGGCCATCAAATATATAGTATAAAAGTACAGAATGTGAAGGGTGCCATGAGATAGAGGGGGATCTGGGAAGGTCTCTGAGGAGGTGGTATTTTATTTGCATGAGGAGATAGGAGCTGGTATTCATGGTGGTGGTACCAACTTCATCAAAGATCCTCAGGTGGGCCCTGGCTGGGTGGCACAGTTGGTTGAAGCGTCTCATACACCAAAGGTTGCAGGTTCAATCCCTGGTAGGGGCATGAATGGAAGGCAACCAAATGATGTTTCTCACATTGATGTTTTTGTTTGTTTTTTTCTCCTCCTCTCCCTCTCTAAAATTCAAAACGTACACTTTGGTGAGGATTTTTTTTTTATCTTCACCCGAGGACGTTTTTCCGTTTTTCATTCAGATAGAGTGGGGGTGGGGTGGGGAGAGAGAAACATTGACGTGAAAGGCACACATCAAGTGGATGCCACCTGCACAACCCAACCAGGGCCGGGGACAAACTGCAACTGAGGTACATACCCTTCGCGGGAACCAAACCCAGGTCTCTCCAGACTGCAGGCCAACGCTCTAACCGCTGAGCCAAACTGGCCAGGGCAGTGAGGATTTTTTAAAAAATAATTCTCAGGTGGGCAGGAGCTTAGTGTTGGAGAAAGCAAGATGACCTAACAACTGGAGAGAGGCAGACCCAGGGGAAGGCTTCTCTCTGGACATTGAAGCTAATGGGACATTCTCAACAGTGGTGAAGCTTGGGTCAGGTTGCAGTGGGAAGCCACTGATGGACTTCCAAAGCAGGAACATAATCTGGTTGGCATTTTTCAGAGATTACTCAGATTTAGGCAAAGCACGAGGGAGGATTGGGCTAAAGAAGAAGGTGGTTTGGCCTGGAGTGGTGGCAGAGGAGGTTGTTGCCACCTCAGGGCTAGTGGGGTAGCAGTGCAGATCATGAAGGAACTCTGGCCAGTGACTGTTCACCCACAGTAGCACTCCAGCCCATCTCCATGCAATTGACTGGTGGCTGTGATAGTGAACAGACCCTGAAACACATCTGTAGCACAGGCTTTGGGTGTTACCTTGTCCTTCTTCATCTCTGGAACAGCTTGAAGCCCTCTCCAAAGAGCTTCTGTGATGGGGCTTTCCTTAACTTAACTTACATTTGATTCTGTGCAGAGTGCCCAGCGGGCCAAGGCCTCACTCAATGGGGCCGATATTTACTCTGGCTGTTGCACTCTGAAGATTGAATATGCAAAGGTAAGTCTGGGAAGTGACTGCCGCTTGTCAGCTTCCAGGTGAGCTCGGGCCTGGCTGATCTCAAGCTCTTTCTTGTCCCTACAGCCTACACGTTTGAACGTGTTCAAGAATGATCAGGATACTTGGGACTATACAAACCCCAACCTCAGTGGACAAGGTAATGCTGATGGCCACTTTGTTCTAAACACACCCGCCTTGCCTTCACTTGACTAGCGCACTTCATAGACCTGGGTTCAGGGTTATGTAATGCCATTGGGCTCCCTGTGGACATGGGAGGGCCTTGGGTCAGCTCTAGAAAAGACACTTTGGGAGAGGGCAAGTGAGGGCCTTCTCTGGGTTCTAGCTGTTGCTTGGGGACCCTTGGATGCAGTTGAGTGTGCAGAATCAAGGTGTAGAGGCTTGGATTGGGTTGGGTGCAGGGCTTCACAGAGCACTGGGCATGGCAATGGCTTATAACCAGTAGCAGCTCCCAAATGAAATCTGCTTCCCTACTAGGAGCCTTCTTAGGTCACTGATTCCATTCTCGCTGGGCCAGGAATGGTCCTCTTGCTCTCCACTCTTGAGAGGGTCTGCTTGTTGCGGGGGTTGGGGAGGAGGGAGGCAGATTGGGAGGTGGTGAAGACTCCTGGGCCCTTTTGCAGCAGAACCTTTGAGCAAGTTGACCTTGTAGAGGTGATATCCTGGATTGGAGCCGGGCGGACATGCCTTACCTCACTTGTAGAGGGGAGTCAATTTCTCTGCAGGGGGCCCAAATGGACACCCACTTCCTAGAATCTGTCAAGAATGGTGTGCCTTGGATAGGAGGGAGGTGGAGGATTGCCTTTGAAAAGCAGCAGCACCGCCTCAGCAAGACCGTCCATCTCTGTGTCTGTCTTGGTCTGATACATTGGACTAGGCCATGGGCTGTGGGAGGAGGCTGGTTGCTGACATCTCACAGGCCGTGGGGGGCCAGAGGCCCCCATTTCTAGCCAGGCCTGTCTTGCTCGTCCTTGAAGCTGGGAAGCGGTGGGGTGGGCTAGACTCTTCCCCAGGACCCTCACAATGGGTGCTGTGGGCCTGGCTGCTCCCTCCAGAGGTCAGAGGCAAATTGGTGACCAAGTGAATGTACCAGAGCGGGCAATGGCATTACATGACTGCTAACAGAAACATGGCAACCAACCATTTCTTCTCCAAGGAACATAAATAGAAGATGTGCAGACCAGCAGGGGCTAGTGGCAGGGGCTGGCTGTGCATTGGTTTTGATGCCTCTCAGTTTTGGCTGTCCCGAGGCTCGGGGTCAAAAACGAGAGCTGATGGGGTAACCTGGAGTGAGGGCGGTGCTTCGCCACCCCCTCAGGAACCATACTTCAGCGGCTCTGCCTCTGCACATTGCTCACCAACACACAGGGTAGAAACCACTAGCTCTTCCTGGAGAAAACAGAACATGCAGCCTCCACCACGTCCCCAGAAACAGCTGCAGACTTGAGCTCACTACATCAAGAACACCACACCGCGCTCCAAGGAACAGCTACAAGCACAGAGACAGAGGCAGACAGAGACAGAGAAAGAGACGCAACATGGCAGCAGACACTGCTTTTTTATTAAACATTAAAAAAGAGGTCAAAATCCAAGCAAACTCGAACTCGAGAATGTACACAGAAGTAGGAAACACAGAGAACAGAGCTCTCAGCCAGCCAACGGCGCTCTTTTCGGAGAACGTTTCACAGACTGAAGTAGATTCCATGGGCCTCCAAGACAATAGGATCCTCTCTCCATTCCTCGCCATTTTGGGTTTTGTTTCGTTTTTTAAGTCCTTTGGTTTGGGGAGGGCCTTCTTTTTTGTTTCGATATTTTTATTTTTTCTGCAGTCAACAGCTGCCAACATAATCTGCACCAACTGGAGATCAGAAACCAAAAAAATTAAACCACAACAAAAAAAAAAGTCAAAAAACCAAAACAGACCTAAAACCAGACAGCCAAACAGCTCAGAGGTACACAGTTACCTGCTGGCGGGTAACCGGGCGCGCTCCCAAGGCCAAAAGCTCGGGCATAGTGGGGCCACTGGCACACTTCACAACCAGGAGACACGCACATGGAGCGCTACACAGCCAGAAGCACCGCACTGCAGCACACAGTGTGAGGAGGTGACAACACGGAGGGACACTACCCACTTCATACACCTTTATTTTCCACTTTTCTGATATCTTCTGAGGACAGAACATCTGTGAGCCATTTTTGATTTAATGAAAACATTGACTGTTAAAACGATCTTTAAAAAATTGTAGCGGATGTGTACTGTAACTTGTATTTATGACTGTAAAACCATGTGATGCAGGGTCGCAGTGTATGTTTGATGGGACGCCATCTTTCAGAACTGTGCTAACTCACTGTTGAAGCGTCCAATGGTAAGAGAAAATACAGATTTGTTTTTTGTGACAAATGGACATTGTACTCTGTACTTCTGCTGTAAGTAGCCCTATTCCATCTTTGTAATGACTGATTGTTGAAAACAAAATGCAGGCCGGGTGGCAGGAAAGGGCAGTGGTCTCGAGCCCTGGGTTTTGGAGACAGCCAGATCTGGGTTCAAATCCCGGCTCAGCCACTAACTTGCTTTGTGACCTTGGGCCAAAATGTCTTTTTAACTGCTCAGTTCAAAGTTAACTGCTCAGTTTCCGTATCTGTAAAATGGGGCTCAAATAGAACCTACCTCATAGGGTTGTTGTGAGGAATTTAAAGAAGCTGTGATGTCTGTAAAGCGCTTAGCACAGTGTCTGCCACTCAAGTGCTAAATTAATGGTGGCGATGAATGAACTGCAGCTGGGGTTGGGGGTGGATCTGCGCCATTGTCTGGGTCTAAGAATGTCGATGCCTTGTACATGATTGCTCATGTGAACTGATTCCGACTTCGCCCTGCTTGTCCTTCCCTCCAGTCCCTCCTCGGGTTGGACCTGACTAGGTGGGAGGGTGACTGGGACTGGCACTGAGAGAGAAGGGGTCTAGAGAGTGGAGTCTAGAGCTCCTAGAACCTTGGGGCTTTGGGTGCCAGTTGGTATCTTTCTGCCCTTTCTCGGTTATTCTCCTGCTCTTAATCTCCTCTCCCTTCATTAGGAGTTATTTTAGAAAGCTGTTTTTGGCCCCCCATAACCTATTAGCATCCATAGTACCTATAGGTTTCCCAGAGGCCCCAAGAGCTCGGCTTCCCACCAGAGCCAGGGCAGATGACAGAGTGCCCAGATCCTGGCCTCATCTTTCATAGAGAAAGGATAGATAGCAGCCTAGTTGGAATGGGCAGAGGAGGCAGAGTGGGTTCCAGCCTTGGGCTTTGTGCCCACCCTCAGCCAGGCCAGAGGAGGGAGGCTCTAGCAGCCCATTTGAGATAGGGAGATTTGCAGCCAAGGAGCTAAGGGACTTAGAGCTTAATCTTTAGTCAGGAGGGAAAGAACCACTCCTCTTGTCAAAGTAGGCTCTAACTGCTTTTTCTGTCCACAGGCGACCCTGGCAGCAACCCTAACAAACGCCAAAGGCAGCCCCCTCTCCTGGGAGATCATCCCGCAGAATATGGTGAGGGCAGGGGGTTCCCCTCCGTGGACTCCCGTGGCTCATGTGCCCCTGCCCGCCGCCCGCCACGCAAATTCTCACCCGCCCTCCCTCTCTTTCCTTCCCACCCCCCAGGAGGGCCCCACGGTGGGTACCACAGCCATTACCATGATGAGGGCTATGGCCCTCCCCCACCTCACTACGAAGGGAGAAGGATGGGCCCACCAGTGGGGGGTCACCGCCGGGGCCCAAGTCGCTACGGCCCCCAGTATGGGCACCCCCCACCCCCTCCCCCACCACCCGAGTATGGCCCCCACGCCGACAGCCCTGTGCTCATGGTCTATGGCTTGGATCAGTCTAAGATGAACTGTGACCGAGTCTTCAATGTTTTCTGCTTGTACGGCAATGTGGAGAAGGTGAGTTTCTGTGAGGTCCGCCGCTTTCCTTGTAGACCTTGCAGGCCCCAGGGAGGCTCTGAACCTCGGGCTTGCCCAGAGGTTGCCTGGCTATGAGCAAGCCGATCCCGAGAGGGTAACTCTCTTAATCAGGTGACTTGCTGCAGATAGGGTTTATTTAGTCCTCGCTGTAGGTGGGTATTTTGTCTATTTTTTGAATTTTTAGTGTTAATAAAACTTGGATTAGCACATAAAATGCTAATAGTTAACATTACATGAATGTTATCATTTGTGAAACTTACCTATTGGGGGGGTTTATTTTCTAATTTTTAAATTTTACTTACTGGTTTTAGGGGGGGAAGAGAAGGAGACGATGTGTTGCTCCACTTATGCATTCAGTTGATTCTTTTATTAAATCCTCATTGGATATTTTTTCTTCTGTTTATTTTCAGATAGAGTGGGAGGGAGGGGGTAGAGAGAAAAATCAGTGAGAGAGACAGACAGACTGGTCGCCTCCCGCATGACTCTGACCAGGGCCGGGGATAAACCGCAACCAAGGTATATGCCCTTGACTGGAATTGAGCCTATCTGGCCAGGCCATTGGATTCTTGTATGTACCCTGATTGGGGATCAAACCTACAATCTTGACGTATTGGGATGACGCTCTAACCAGCTGAGCTGCCTGGCCAGGGCTACTCATTGTATGCGGGATTTTTCCAGATGATCTGGCAACACTGTGCCTTCTGCCTTGTCTGGGACAGTTAACCGAAACTGATAGGTCAGCCACCCAGATCAGTGGGTTCTTGCTTCTGTGGAACCCATCTGGAGTTCTTTGAGTTTGTAGCCTCTCTCGGCTCATCAGTAACAGTAGCAGCTCATACATGTTAAGTGTTCCTCCTATACTAGGCGCTGTTAAAAGTGCTTTAAGTGTTGTGATTTTTTTTTTCACAAGGATCCTTAGTGAGACAAGTGGGGGAAATGAAGGCATGAAAGGTGAATAACTTGCCCATATTCACAGACAGTTTTTGTGGAAGCAGGATTCAGAGCTAGATCGCCTGGTTTCAGAGTGGTCACTACTGGTTTTCAGTGGTTTTTACTAGGCCTCCTGTTTCCTATTGTGCCTATGGGTCCTGTCCTATGGCTAGAAAAACACTGACTAGGCTCTGCTGCCTACCTTGGGCTGAGCACTTGCTGTGAGCCAAGCATGCTTTTCTTTTTCTCCTGATCCCCCATTCACAAGTCAGGACATGGAAGCAGGAGTTACTGTTAACTAGGAATGGTCTTTTGCTGCTGTGAGCAGTGGTGCTGACCATGGTTGCTCTCCCCAAGGTAAAATTCATGAAAAGTAAGCCGGGGGCCGCCATGGTGGAGATGGCGGATGGCTATGCTGTGGATCGGGCCATTACACACCTCAACAACAACTTCATGTTTGGACAAAAGCTGAAAGTCTGGTAAGTGCCAGACAAATTCCTTGGGGTAGGATGTGTTGGCAAGGATTGGGGAGAAAAGGGGCAGAAAATGGGACCCACTCTGGATGGGGCCTAGCAGTGGAGCACAGTGAGGCAGAGGTGCTTATTCAGGCAGGAGGGGGGAGGTGGTGTTTCCAGGTGCTTCTCTGAAGCAGTGAGAGAGAGTGTAGGCTTCACTTCATTGTGGTGCAAGGCCCCCTTTGGCACCCAGCACTTGTTCTCAGACAGAAACGAGCCCCACTGGTGGGCTTGGGGGACAATATTAGGTCTGACAAGGGCTCCCTTTCCTACCTAGTGTCTCTAAGCAACCTGCCATCATGCCTGGTCAGTCATATGGGCTAGAAGACGGGTCCTCCAGTTACAAAGACTTCAGTGAATCAAGGAACAATCGGTTCTCCACTCCGGAGCAGGCAGCCAAGAACCGCATCCAGCACCCTAGCAACGTGCTGCATTTCTTCAATGCCCCTCTGGAGGTGACTGAAGAAAACTTCTTTGAGGTACGTGCCGTGGAGTTGGTCGCTCACCACGGCCATCTGAGTGGGCCATTTATTTTAGTCTTTCAGCAACTACCTATTGGTTTCCTCCTCTGGTAGACCTGGGTTGGGTGCTGGATACAGCACCAAACATTTAGCAACAGTGGAGTTTGCCAGGCTCTTAACAATGTTGGCAAGCTAGGATGGGAAAGATTCTCTGTGTGGGTGTTAGAGTGGTGATCAGAGTCCAGTCTCTCAACGTCCCCATTGTCAGGCAGGCCCCGAGGTGCCCAGATAACACCTGAAGGGAGGGCCTGTTAAGGGTGAGGTTAGAGGAAACGGGGGCAGGAAGTCTGACTGGCAGAGTTGGACTTTTGGTCCTTTTATTCAGTTCATCAAACATTTACCTAGTGCCAACACCCTCAAATAGCAGCTGGAGGTGGGATTTTTTTTTTTTTAAGGTTATGGGACACCTTAGAGTGTGATAAAAGCTTACACATTATTATTATTATTATTATTATTATTATTATTATTAATTTAGTTTTGTTACAGATGTTTCTCCTTTTTCCCCATTACAAACTGTTTTCTCCAGAAAAAATCAAGCACTCCGGTTTTGCAGGGCATGGTGTGCTTGAATTCTGCCATGTGACAGTCCTTGTGTATCTGCATCTGTTTTCTGTCTTGCAGATTTGTGATGAGCTGGGAGTGAAGCGGCCATCTTCTGTGAAAGTATTCTCAGGCAAAAGTGAGTAAACTGCCCTGTGTTCTTCATTCCTTCATTGTAGATGGGCAGCTCCCTAGTTCGTATTTGGGTCCCCCTAAAACCTTGGCTTTTCTCTCAGGTGAACGCAGCTCCTCTGGGCTGCTGGAGTGGGAATCCAAGAGTGATGCCCTGGAGACGCTGGGCTTCCTGAACCATTACCAGATGAAAAACCCAAGTGAGTATCTGTGTATCCTGCAGTCATCATCCTTGTGGCTTAATGGGTTGGCTGGCTTCAGGCCAGAGCTGTCCTTCCTGCCATTAAAATAGAGCCCCAGAGATTTCCACATTGTCGCTGACAGACAAGTAGGACCTGATCCTCAGGAGAGCAGCCTGATGTTCCTCATGGGAGGGCCAGCCTGGCTGCTTGTTGCCACCCACTCTGCCAGCTGGGACTTGCTCAGGCTTGTCCTCCAGGTAACTGGCATTCTCTCTCAGAGGCTGGCTCAGCTAGTACCCAAGAAAGGGGCTATATTAGCCAGCTTGTAGAATTTGCCCATCCAGTTCCTGGGGCAAGCCTGTTCTAGGCCAGCTCCAGAGCTAGGGATGGAATTTCCCATGGTAGTAAAGGAAGGGAAGGAGAAGTGCCTTGTGTATTTGTGGCTTGTTTTTTAAGTCTCACATTGGACAGTGACCCAATTAGACCCCACAGTTAACTGCAGATAAAGATGTGTACAAAATGAGGGGAACTGGAGTGGGGCGATTCAAAGATGGGCTCAGCCAGACTTCTTTCTTCTTTGCAGATGGTCCGTACCCTTACACCCTGAAACTGTGTTTCTCCACCGCTCAGCATGCCTCGTAATTAGGTGCCGAGGAAGAGTCCCATCTGAGCAGGAAAACATTTCTTTCCTTTTTTTTTTTTTTTTGCAAAAGTTTCTGTATTTCTTTTTCTTTTTTAAATGCTAGGTTAGTAGAGGCTTAACCATAATGGAAACAATGGGGGGGGGGAGGGAATTGATATTTCCCAAGATTAATCTTTACTTTTTAAAAATTATTGTACATGTGATTTTTTTTCCTGTTCATACATTTGTGCTGCCCATGTACTCTTGGCACATTTCAATAAAATTGTTTGGAAAATTAACAGCGCTTTCTGGGAATCTGGGTTTGTGTCTGCTTCCCTTCCTCTTGGTCTTCTGAAGAGGGGCAGGCTGACCAGGACACAGCTGCAGACCAGTCAAGATGCCAGCAACTAAGGAGTCTTGAGGAGAAGCCGGGAGACCTGGTGGCACACTATTTATTGATCCTGCCTAAGCAAGCTTACTCTAGTAGGAGGCACTTAAAAAGTACATGGTAATGGGGGAAAAGGAAAACCTCAAGGGAAATGAATCGTGAAGTAAACACTTTTTAAAAAAAAATAAGGTTAGAAAATGAAATCTGAAGTTATAAAAGTGGACATCTTTTCCCCAGTCCCTTTATCAATTTTTGATGATTCCCCTCCCCGCCCCCCATGTCACATTGGGCAATGACTTGCAGTTGAACTGCAGGAAAAAATGTGTGTGCAAAACAAGGGGAACTGCATGGGAGGAGCATGGTCTGGACTTCCATCTGTACATTTTTGTTTCTGTTATTCATCAGAGGATATTTTTCCATTGATTTTTTAATGTATTTTTAAATATTTAAATATTTTTTAGATATTTTTCCATTGATTTTTAGCGTGGGAGGGAGAAAGGGAGAGAGAAACATTGATGGGAGAGACATCAATTGGTTGCCTCTTGCACCACCCCAACCAGAGCTGGGGATTGAACCTGCAACCCAAGTACATGCCCTTGACCAGGAATTGAACCTATGACTCTTCAGTCCACGGGCTGTGGCTCTAACTGGGGAGCCACACTGTCCAGGGCTTTTTTGTTCTAAAAAATTTTTGTAGCCCTGGCCTGTTTGGTCCAGCGGTTAGAGCGTCGGCCTGCGGTCCGGAGAGACCCGGGTTCGGTTCCCGCTAAGGGCACGTGCTTCGGTTGCAGTTTGTCCCCGGCCCTGGTTGGTCGTGCGGGTGGCAGCCACTCGATGTGTCCCTTCACGTTGATGTTTCTCTCTCTCTCTCCCTTCCTCTCTCTCCCTCCCACTCTGTACAAAAAATGGAAAAATATCCTCGGGTGAGGATAAAAAAAAAAAAAAATTGTAATTCATTTTAGAGACATTTATTCATTTATCATGCATTCATTGGTCAATTTTTATATGTGCTGACCTGGGGTTGAACCTGCAACCTTGGTGTATCAAGATGGTGTTACAACCATCTGAGCTACCCTGCCAGGACCTGTTTTTTGTTTTTAATAAAATTGTTTGTGTACATTGTGTATCATAACCACATACGAAGCAACGTCCTTGTCCTTACCCCTGAGGCCTTATCTTGTGTGGTTCTGTTAGAATTGATCTGGTCCCACCCTGGCTGGTTTGGCTCAGCAGTTAAAGTGTCGGCCCATGGACCAGAGAGACCTGGGTTTGGTTCCCACTAAGGGCATTTGCCTCCGTTGCAATTTGTCCCTGCCCCGGTTGGGGTTGTGTGGGTGGCAACCAATGTGGGAGAGAGACATCGATTTTTTCTGTCCCTCTCTCCCTCCTGCTCTATCTGAAGATGAATGCAAATATGTCCTAGGGTGAGGATTAAAAAAAAAAATTGACCTGGTCCCAAAGGTAATTTCCAACTTTTTGCTACTGTACACGGTACTAGGCTGTACATCTTGATACAAATATCCTAGCCAACTTCCCTGGTGTGGAGGTGTGTTCCTAGCAGTGGAATTGCTGGGTTAAATAATCTATATATACAATTGTAAAGTGATAGATACTCCCCATTTGGATAGATGGGAACTTGTGTATATGGGGGTGAGGGGTGACAACCTGGAAGGAGCCTGCTTTAAGGACCTTGGTTCCTGATGGGAGGGGCAGCCTAGAGAGGTATGAATACAGTGTCTTGTTCACGCATGTGCTCTTGAAAATAACCCACTTTGGGTATTTACTGTGAAGTTTTGAAACATTACTGAAGACACGTGACATTTGTCAGATGAAGAAATTGCTTCACGTGGGGAAGTTATGTAATAGAACCTCTGGACAAGGAGAAACTAGTCCACAAACTTAAAAATCTGTGATTTTTTTTTCTTTATTAAATTTAGAGAGGAATGGAACGAGAGAGAGAGAAACATCAAGAGAGAGAACATTTATTAGCCGCCTCCTGCATGCCCCCCACGGGATTGGGCCCACAACTTTGGCATGTGCCCTGACCTGGAAACTAACCAGCGATGCTCAACCACTGAGCCACACCAGCTGGGCATGATTTGTTTTTTGTTTTTTGTTTGTTTTAATCCTCACCCGAGGACTTTCTTTCATTTTTTGTTCAGGTAGAGTGGGAGGGAGAGAGAGGAACAGAGAGAGAGAGAAAGAAACATCGATGTGAAAGGGGACACATCGAGTGGCTGCCACCTGCATGACCAACCAGGGCTGGAGACAAACTGCAACCGAGGTACGTGCCCTTAGTGGGAACCAAACCCGGGACTCTCTGGACAGCAGGCTGACTCTAACCGCTGAGCCAAACTGGCCAGGGCCATGATTTGTTTTTAAGTCAGTTATGGGGATGAAAAGTACATTTCACTTTATCTCCCAGCACCCAGTTATTCCTCAGCAATTTTGAGTCCTACAGATACTGTACGTATATATTGTACTGTTCTATAACTTATGCTGACTGGGTTAAATGTTCTACATCTTTACATTTTTTTCTCTCTCATCATGGTATTTACATAGCGGTTTCGGAGTTTACATTGCACAGATGACTAAACAGTCCTGTGGTTCAGTTTTCCAATAAAGGCTACCTATGAAATTTCATTAAGGAGGCAAGTATTTCATATAATCCAATTTGCCCAGCGACATTGGTTCGCTTCCTGGTGAAGATCTCCCTAAGCAGTTTTACAGCACTTATGCTGTTGGGTAACTGGCTTTTTCCATAGAGGTTTGCTTTTTTTGTTGTTAATCCTTACCCGAGGTTATTTTTCTATTGATTTTTTTTTTTTTTTTTTAGATAGAGAAAATAAATCTATGTGAGAGGGACACATTGATTGCCTCCCACACCACCCCTACAGGCTGGGGTCCAACCTTCAACTTTGAACCCTCTTTTACCTGCTGGGTCAAACCAGCCAGGGCTCCCTAAGAGGTTTTATTTTAACAACATGGACTAAAAATCCACATAAATTCCCCCTTCAGCATTCTCGAAGCCTAGAGACTGAAATAATGACTTGTCCAGCCCCAGCTCCAGGTCCCTGTGTACAAAGGAATATAGGGCCTCCTGATGGTGTGGGGATTTAAACAACATAGTCAGAGCTTAATATTGGTCCGTGTTTCCGTTCCTTTACGTGGGTAAACTACCGCATAATTATTTTTTCTTTTAACATGCCACTAGTTCATGATCAGGGCTGCAGTTATTCTGCCATTATGTCCTTGGACGCTCCAGCTGTCTCTAATTTTAACACCATTATAAAACAGCTGTGATGAACTTTCACGCAGGCATGTGAATTATTAGGCCAGGTTCCTACTGGGCGAAAGGGTCCATTCCGAGGACGAACCAAGAAGACTACTTCCGGTTGCCCTTAGTAAAGATGGCGGAGGGGGCGTCTCCGCGGTCGGGCTGCGGGCTGTGCCCTCCCCAAATATGGCTGCCTTCGTGCCCGCCCCTTTGACTTCCTCCCGTTGGGTTACTCCAGCAACTCCGTAGCAATGGCGGCAACTCTGGCGGCCTCTCGCACACTCCGCAACCTACTGATGTGGCGTGAGTCACCTATTGACTTCTGGGGGTCCTTGCGCTGTCATAGAGATCTTAGGACGACGGGGAGGCCTGGCCCAGGCCAAGCAGGGTCCGGGTCCCTTAAACTCAGGGCTCCGTGTGTTCCCATCCAAGGGCTCCCCCGTTCTGTAGGTCTGCCTTACAGTCGGGTCTCTGAATGGCTCCCTGTCCCTAATCTGGGATCAGCCCCACGATTAAGAGTTTGAAGTGGTCCTCAGACTGAGGTCGCTGATAATTGCACCCCTAATCTTAAACTCTGCATCTGCCCAAATTGAGGTGTCCAAGGGTCCTGTGGTTCCCAGTCTAGTGTCACTGAGATGTGCACCTTAGGCTGTGTCTGGGTTTATCAAAAGTTCTGCCTTCCTTTGTCTCCCCAGGACTGATAGCCCCTACTCACCTGGATCGCAGCCTTTGCCCCATGAGCTCCTCTGCACAAAATGAGGCCACCAGAGCATCCCCCAGTGAAGCCCCACACCACAACTATCAGTCCCTTCGGGTGACAGCTGTCCAGAAACACATTCTACACGTACAGCTAAACCGGCCAGAGAAGAGGAATGCCATGAACAGGGCCTTCTGGAGGTCTGGCTTACAGATCCTGGAGGCCTGCCTGTGGGAGGCAGAGACTGAGGGGTTGGGCAGGGGTGGAGTGTGGGAGACAGCTGGACATGAGAGTAGGGGATTCTCACCCCAGACACAGCCCTTCTTTACCCCTTGCTCCTCCACAGTGAGATGGTGGAGTGTTTCAACAAGATAGCCCAAGATTCTGACTGTCGAGCTGTGGTGATCTCTGGTGCAGGAAAAATGTTCACTGCAGGTACGAGGTGCTTTCTCCACCCTCACCCCTACCCCCACCAGTCTCCCCTGCTCCTGGGAATAGAATAGTGTTTTTGTTTTGTTTTGTTGTTTTTTGTTTTTGTTTTTTTTTATCCTCATCCCAGGACATTTTTGCATGTATCTTCAGATAGAGTGGGAGCAAGAGAGTGAGGGAGGGAGAGAGAGAAACATCGATGTGGGAGAGACACATTGACTGGTTGCCACCCACACGACCCCAACCGGGTCTGGGGACAAACTGCTACCAAGGTATGTGCCCTTAGTGGGAATTGAACCCAGTACTCTCTGGTCTTCGGGCCAATGCTTTAACCTCTGAGCCAGACCAGTCAGGGCTGTTTTGTTTGTTTATGCAGCAAAGAAAGTAAAAGTTTATTAACACCCAGAAACAGCTTAGCCAATGCTCAAAGACCTGGCCCCTGGATGTCTTCCAGGGCATGGGTCATATAGGGGAAAAATCATTAATCATGATGACTCAAAGTGGCAAGTTTGTGGTCAGGGTCATGGTCTCTACTGACTGCTCCGTGGTAGGGTAGAGGGTAGTTGATCAGTGCGTCTGGTCCTGATGTCAGCCGTGTTGTCGTTTGGCCACTTTCTGGGCCTAGAACTGAAAAACAGCTGAGGCCTAGATGTTATCTCTAGTTTAGGGAGACTCTGTCTCTGTGGTCAATAGACCTGAGGTTTTGTTCCTATAATTATTTGATGCTGATCAGAACATCATTGTCCTAAGGGCTTAATGATTAAGGGAGCTGTTCTGCCAGGCTGGAGGCAGGCAGATGAATCAGGGTCCCGGATAAGGCCAGTATGAATCAAAAAGAAAGAAAGGAGAAAAGGTCATATTAGACAAATGAAGTTTTGCCCTGGCTGGTCTGGCTCAGTAGTTAGAGCATCGGCTGGTGGACATAAGAGTCACAGGTTGATTCCTGGTCAAGACCATATACCTTGGTTGTGGGTTCTTTCCCCGGATTCCAGGTGCGGGAGGCAACCAGTCAATGTGTCTCTCTCACATCAATGTTTCTCTTTCTCCCTCTCTCCCTCCCTCCCACTCTTAACTGAAAAAAATCAATGGAAAAATATCCTTGGGTGAGGATTAAAAAAAAAAAAGAAGAAAGAAATGACGTTTCTATGTGGTTACGATCTCCTCCCTTTATTTTTTTTTAATCCTCACCCGAGGACGTTTTTCCATTTTTTGTTCAGATAGAGTAGGAGGGGGAGAGAGAGAGAAACATCGATGTGAAAGGGACACATTGAGTGGCTGCCACCCGCACGACCCAACCAGGGCCGGGGACAAACTGCAACCGAGGTACGCGCCCTTAGTGGGAACCGAACCCGGGTCTCTCTGGACTGCAGGCCGACGCTCTAACCGCTGAGCCAAACCAGCCAGGGCATCTCCTCCCTTTCTTTTGATCATTCTTCAATCTTGAGGAATACAGGGCAGTTGGATCTGGGTCAACCAAGAGGGAGGATCAGCTCATAGATGGAGTCAAGTCTGCCTGCCTGCTGTGCCCCTCTTACATGCCCGCCTCTTCCTCAATGGTCCCTGAGCCTTGGAGGGGCGTTCTAGGTGTTCAGGTTGCAAGCAGGAACCACCGCCATGGCAGATTAAGTAGCAGGCCAGGATTCCTGTATCCTAAGTAATAATCAAAGCAAACCACAGGGTAGTTTCTGAGTCTTTAAGACTGCCGGTAGAGAAGCCCTTCAGATGAAAGGCTCAGAGTTCATTTTTGCTGGAATGAAGGCAGGCAGTAGTAACAGCCAGACAGGGTTCCCTGGCCCACAGTCCAAATGTCCCTGATGAACATCCAGACACCAGCTCAAGCAAGCTCTGTGTGTGGCTTCCATGATATCAGTCACTGAAACTGTCTAGGCATGAGCTGTTTTGATAACTCATCTGAGATTTACATTGTTGTCTGACTGGGGTTTACAATGGCAAGGCTCAGAAAAACGTTTTAGTTCTGAATAATTCCAAGGCAAAGGATGGGAGAAAAATAAAACACTACTCCAGATGGCTTCAGCCAAACACTTTTTTGTTTGTTTTTTAATTCTCACCCGAGGATATTTTTCTATTTATCTTCAGATAGAGTGGGAGGGAGAGAGAGAGAAACATCGATGTGAGAGAGACACATCGACTGGTTGCCTCCTGCATGACCCTGACCACGGCCGGGGATGAACCGCAATCAAGATACATGCCCTTAACCAGAATTGAGCCCATAACTCATTGGTCCAGGGGCGGACACTACCGCTGAGCCAAACCGGCCAGGGCCAGCCAAACACTTATTTAAAAAGTTTAGGATCTAGTTCAGTACAGGTGAAAAATTAGATTTTAAAGACAATTAACTAGAATCTAATACCCACAATTGTATATTTTGGTTCCTATTGAAACAGTTTCTTTCTCTAAAATTATCCTCACTTTATCAAAGACAGCTAAGTTAAGACTAATTTATTGGATAAGTCTAGTTTCAATAAATTTGGCCTGTTATTTGCATATTTATGACAAGAACAGTAATTGATCATATAGGCTCGTTTATTTTGTTGTTAATCCTCACCTGAGGATATTTTTTTCCATTAAATATTTTTAGAGAGAGTGGAAGGGAAGAAGGGAGGGTGGGAGTGAGAGAGAGAAACAGTGACGTGAGAGAGACACATTGATAGTTTGCCGCCCACAGGACCCCGATTGAGGCCGGAGACCAAACCAGTGACTCTGGTCCACAGGCTGACACTCTAACCCCTGAGCCAAAGCGGCCAGGACTAGTTTTAACCTTCCTCATCATCTGACAAAATGTATTTATGAATGCGTTTGTCTCCCATAGAAGGGCAGCTCCATGAGGGCAGGAATTGTCTGTATTGTTCGCTTATTGAGCGCCTACAGCGTACTAGGCTCTGACTAGGCTCTGGGAATACAGTGGTGGCAAAGGACAATTCCTCTGCTCCCGGAGCCCTCATCCTAGATGGGAGACAGCACACCGTTATGTGGTGGTGCAGGGAGGTGTGGGAGATGGGCAGAGGAAGGAGATGTAGGTGACCGGCTGCTATTTAGCCAGGGTAGCCAGAGTGGGCCTTTCTGAGGAGGTGACTTTTGACTGTGGCCTGGACAGAAGTGGAGTCAGTCTTGGGATCATAGCAGGGGAAGGACTGTTGCCGGCAGAGGGAACCGGAGGCACGTGTGCCCAAAGGAATAGGTTGGAACTGATTTTTGTGCAGAGATGCTAAGGTGCTGGCAAAGACCTTGCATTTCATTCTAAGTAAGTGGGAGGGGAGGGAAGAAGAGAGGGCCCTGAAGTGTCTACAAGTTCCCCCTGGCTGTGTGTGGGGAGCAGACTGTGGGGGCAGGGATGGAAGCAGGGAGGCCAGGGGACACTGGTGGCCAGTGTAGGGGTCATGGAGACTGGCAAGTGGAGGAAAGGTCAGATTTGGGATTGTTGGACAGTTGGAGCCCTAGAATCGCTCCTTCTCACGTCTTTCCATCTCGAAACACCAGCATCATGGACGCAATTGCTCAAGGCAAAACCTTGACTGCCAGGCTGTCTAGCGTAATGGTGAAACGCATGACCCCCTGGTTCTGGGTTTGAAATCGCATTGCCACTATTCACAAGCCAGTGTGACCTTGGGCAAGTGACTTAAATTCCCGATGCCTCAGTTTACCCCCCGAAATGAAGACAGTAATAGGACCCACCTCTTAGGGTTGTTGTGCGGACAAAGTGAGCAGTGACTCAATGTTAACTTTTATTTATTTCTCAGTCCCTCGTTAAGCCCTGTGTGAGTTGCTTTCCCCACTGTGGTGGTTTGAGGGTTCAAACAGGCTGAGCCTGGGTTCTCACCTCCTGCTGGGGCAGTGGCTAGGGCCTGGGAGGCGTCCCTGAGCCTCCTCACACCTTCCCACCAGGTATCGACTTCATGGACATGGCTTCAGACCTCCTTCAGCCTCAAGGAGATGACGTGGGCCGCATTAGCTGGTACCTCCGTAACCTCATCACCAGATACCAAGAGACATTCAGCGTCATCGAGAAGGTGACTGCGGGGCAGTAGGGCATCCTTCCCGGGCGGCCCTGGCCCTGGCCCTGACACCGCCCTCCGGTTTTCTTTCAGTGCCCTAAACCGGTGATTGCAGCCATCCACGGGGGCTGCATTGGCGGAGGTGAGTCTGCAGGCACAAGCCCCGCCCTGGAACTCATTCTGGCTGGGCGCCTATTGGTTGCTGCCCTTCGCCTTAGCCAATAGCCTCCAGCCTCAGATCTGTTGCTAGTTAGATTTTTGTACAAAAGTGCAACTGCACAACTTGGGCAGAGGGATTGGTCCTTAACAGTTGTTTAGCGTCCCTGGTCTCTGCCTCCCAGGTGTGGACCTCATCACTGCCTGTGACATCCGGTACTGTGCCCAGGATGCTTTCTTCCAGGTGAAAGTGAGTGTCCTCCCGAGCCACTGCTTCCTTGAGTCCTGCTAATGCTGAGCAGTGAGTGGCAGAGTGGGAACGAGCAGGTTAAGGAGGCGGGGATGACAGCGGGCCTGGAGTGAGCCCGGAGGGCTTCATGGAGGAGTTAGTCAGAACTGACCCTCAAAGAGTAAGATCATAGAGGAAGTCAAGGGCAGGTCATGCAGTCCAGGTGAGGTCAGGAGTGAATAAGGGTAGGGGACAGGGTGGAGGCTGGGGGTGCTGCATTATAGGGTCAGTGCCATGGATGCAGTAAGGGGTGAACTTAGCAGGGTTATAAAGGACTTCCCTTTGGAGACAGACGTCGCAGACCCGGATGAATTGAGATGGCCAAGAACTGAAGGTGGGCTCTAGTCTTACCTGAAGGAATCTCCGTGGGTGAAAGTATGTGGAAAGAAATGGACTGGAGTATTGAGGGGAGGGGTGTTTGAGGTAGGGGTGGAGCGGGACTTCGCTGCAAGTGCAGAATTTCCCTGGCATTGAGGTTGTATATGGATCAGTACTGGGCAGAGGCCAAGCACTGATAAGACCGCCTCCCTTCCCCAGGAGGTGGATATAGGTTTGGCAGCCGATGTGGGAACGCTGCAGCGTCTGCCCAGAGTCATCGGGAACCAGAGGTGGGTGGGGAAACCTGGGGGAGGGGACCAAAGGCATCTCCTGGACCCCGGTGACTGCTGTCCCCTGATACACCCTGCCTTCCTGCAGCTTGGTCAACGAGCTGGCCTTCACCGCTCGCAAGATGATGGCTGATGAGGCCCTGGGCAGCGGGCTGGTCAGGTAGGGCTGCGTTGGTGCTGAAGAGCTCAGGGACAGCCAGGCCTGGGTGGGGCTCCCTGGGTCCCCGTGGATCCCCACTCAGGTATTCCAGGTGGCTTCCTCTCTCTGAGTGGTCAGTTTTTTTTTCTGTTGTTGTTGTTGTTCTTGGTATATGCCCCTAGCAGGAACCGAACCCGGGACTCTGGTCTGCAGGCTGATGCTCCAACCACTGAGCCAAACCAGCCAGGGATCTTTTTTTTTCCCCTTATTGATTTGAGAGAGGAAGGGAGAAGGAAAGAGAGATAGAAACATCCATGAAACAGAACATCCATTGTCTGTCTCCTGCATGCCCCTCCACTGGGGATTTGGCCCACAACCTGGGCATGTGCCCTGACCGGGAATCCAACCAGAGACCTCTTGGTGCATGGGTCCATTCTCAACCACTGAGCCACACCAGCCAGGCTGAGTGGTCAGTTCTTTATTCTGGAGTCTCAGTGCCCTGACCTGAGTGGTCCATTTCACCAGAGGAGGAAGTGTTTTCTGCTTTCTACTGTGATTGGCCACTTCTAATATGGGGGGGAAGGGAGAGAGCCCATCTCAGACCCGATTCCTGGTGCCGTTCATCCGCAGCCGAGTATTCCCAGACAAGGAGGCCATGCTTGACGCGGCGGTCGCCCTGGCACAGGAGATTTCCAGCAAGAGCCCTGTGGCGGTTCAGGGCACCAAACTCAACCTGATCTACTCCCGCGACCATCCAGTGGCGGAAAGTCTCAACTACATGGTAAGGCTCTTCATCCGACCAATCCCAGCCCTTCTCTGCTTCCAGAACAACCAATCAGGACTCAGTGGCCTCTGTAGGCCATCTCTGATTGGTGAGCTATGTCCCCGTTTGTCATTGGCCCACCCCCAGTCTCGTCCTGTCCTTGCCATTGCTCTCTGGCCTCTCTGTGCAGGCAACCTGGAACATGAGCATGCTGCAAAGCCAGGACGTCATTAAGTCTGTCCAGGCGGCGATGGAGAAAAAGGAGCTGAAGAGCGTCAACTTCTCAAAGCTCTGAGAGCCCCCGCGGCCCGGGCCAGGCCCGGGGTGTGGCTTTGCCCATTTTACGCCCGTGTTTCCTCATCCACAGAGACAGCAAGCATTAGTGAAGATGGTCATCTTGCTGCCTTCTCCCCCAGTTTATTACTTTATGATGCTGATTTCTTAACACACAGGGACATAACTGCAGCCCCCAAACAATAAAACAAAGTCGAGAACCTGGTGTCCTCGTTGGCGATGGGAGAGGCGGACCGGGGCTAAGCTGCGCCTGGGGGTCCGGGGGCCGCAGTTGCGCAGACAGGTGGGGAGAGCCTTGACCGGTGGGAATGGGAGCCATGCGGAGCTGGCCCTGAACGGCCAGGCCAACAGAAAGTCTGGCAGGCACGGAGCGAGCATGTCACCTGGCCCCGTCTGGGCGGAAAGGCTACAGCTGGCCTCCCCCTGCTGCAGGCTTGAGGGCGTGTTCACCTGCCTGGCCCCCTCCCTGCACGGTGGGCTCTGGTGCTGGAGTCTGGCCCGGGTTCCATCGCTACCCAGTCTCCAGCCAACTGCCTCATTTCTCTAAGCTTTAGGTTTTCTCGTGCACATATAATTCCACCCTCCTGGATTTATGTTCAAAATAAGTACAAGAGACCAAACATTAATTTTTAGTGCCTCCTATATGCTAAGTCCTGTTTGAGCATTTAAGTTAGTGATTTCTTGCGGGGACTAATGGAGTTGGTACTGTGGGTATCCCCACTTTACGGTGAGTGAATGGGCCTACTGAGGTTAAGGCACTGAGCCGAGATGACACAGCCAGGAAGTGGCAGAGGCAGGATCTGACCCCAGAACCTCTGGCTGCAGAAGTCAGTGATCTGAACCACTGTGTATACAACAGAAAGGCATGGAGTAGGCACGCAACCCGCTGAGGTCCTTTCACAGTCCCTGGAGTCTCAAGAGAACACAGTCCCTCCTGCTCTCTGGCTTCCGTCGCCCAGCTGTCCTGGGCCACTCCTGTCGCCCTGCCCTGCCTGACCTCACCCTCCCTCTGCTAACAATGATCCAGGCAGGGTTTTATGGGCTCCGATGATAAGACACTGGCAGGGCCAAAGTCCACTGCACTTTCTCTGCAGAAGGGTCTGGAGGAGGGTCCCTGACCTGAGTCCCCCCAGGCCTGGCCCAGATGATCTGGGTTCTGACTGGTTACCCCTGAGGCTGGTGAGAGAAAGGAGACCAGGGGGTGCTCTAGGAGAAGATATGAGCCTGGGGTGTTCAAAAAGAGGGACCCCATGAACCCTGCCCTGCCTGCCACTCCCTTAACCTCAGGTATAAAAACCAGCCGCCACCTGCCACCTGTCTCCATTTCCGACTGGCAGCTCTTCTCCCAGGACGAGCCACCAGCCCAGCCTCTCAAGATGGCCTTTGTCCCTGCACCTGGCTACCAGCCCACCTACAACCCGGTGAGATACTGGCCCAGGCCCTGGTTGAACTCCACCCTGACCCCCAATGCTCCAATTTACTCTCACCCTGCACTTCGGAAGTGCCCACCCTACCCCTGGGTCTGATTTACCCAACCGACCCTGGGGCACCCACCCTGTCACTCAGACTATTTATGTCCATACAAACTCTCGGGACCGCAGGCCAAGGACCGCAGGCCAATGCTCTAACCACTGAGCCAAACCGGCCAGGGCACAGACTCTCAGCCCTCTTCATCCTCACGCTGCTCCCTCGCCCTTCAGTGTCCTCTCCCTTGCTTGAAGGAGTAGGGGGCTGGCTCTTCCATGAGGGGGAAAGCCTGCAACAGGCCCATGACCTTCGAGGCCCCTCACTCCACCCCTTCTACAGACTCTACCCTACAACAAGCCCATCCCCGGAGGTCTCAGCGTGGGAATGTCCGTTTACATCCAAGGAGTGGCTAGTGAGCACATGAAAAGGTAAGACCCGCCCCCAGGCCAGGCAAGGCAGGGAGGGGGCTGCACACAGGGCCTTCCAGTCTCCTTCCCTCCCTCCACCCTGCTTGGGGAGGGGCTCTAGTCCACCACACCTGATGACAAAAGACCAGGCCTAATCTGGGGAGTCCAGGGCTTGGAGCTCAGATAAGGAGAGCCCGGGGTGGGGGGTGGGGGGGCGGCTGGGAAGGGTCAGGAAGGCTCACCATAAGAGGGGGCCCCAGAGTTGGGCTGCTGGGGATTGGAACTGAGGAAAAATCGCAGCCAGAGCCGGGCCAGTTGTCACCACCATGTGACTGGGAAAGCTACTGTACCTTTCAGTGCTTTCGTTTCCTGTCTGTAAAATGGGATTGTTTTGAGGATTCCGTGTGTAGCTCAGCGGTTAGAGCGTCGGCCTGCGGCCCAGAGAGACCCGGGTTCGGTTCCCGCGGCCCTGGATGTGTCGTGCAGGTGGCAGCCACTCGATGTGTCCCTTTCACGTCGATGTTTCTCTCTCTCTCTTCCTCTCTCTCCCTCCCACTCTATCTGAACAAAAAATGAAAAAAATGTCCTTGGGTGAGGATAAAAAAAAAAGATGTAGAACTAGAAAGTAAGCACTAAAGTAAGTCCTAGTTTTGTTTTTTTTTTTGTTTTTTTTATGGCCTTAAAATGGCAATAACTGAGCTGACGTCATGGCGTTGTTGCTCCTGTGTCCGTTGTCTCCTTGCTCACTGACTGCGCCCTGTGCCTGGGCACTGAGGACAAAGATCCTGCAGGGCAGCCCTCAGGAGGCTGACATCCTAGTACAGGAGACAGATAAAAAATAAATGAGTTGCAATAAATAATAAAATAGCTCAGGCAGTGTGGTTCAGTGAACTGAGAGGTCCGGTTCAACTCCCTCAGGGCACATGCCCAGGTCTGGGGCTCCATCCCCAGTAGGAGGCCTGCAGGAGGCAGCCAACGGATGTTTCTCTCTCACATCGATGAGAAACTTTCTATCTCTCTCTCCCTTCCTCTCCCCCCCAAAAAAATCCATAGAAAAATATATAAAAATATGTTTAAAAATAAATAAACAAAATAAAGAGTAAAATAATGATTAGATGAACCACTCATATGTCAGATGGTTATAAATGCTATGGAGTCAAATAAGGAGGGAAGGGAGGTGGGGAGGGATGTGGGGGAGAGGGGCGTGGCACTGTCCCTTTAAATAGGGCGGCCAGGAAAGGCCTCCCTGGGAGGGACCATCTCAGCAAGACCTGGGGGAGGTGAGGAGGGAGCCCGGGGTGTACCTGAGGGAATTGCATTCTAGGCAGAGAGAACACCCCGTGCGAAGGTCACAAGATCTGTGTGTGTGTGTGTGTGTGTGTGTGTGTCTGGAATAATTTGGGGGATGCTGGTATGAGGGGGGTGCTCTGACTTGGGTGTTCCCGGGGAATGGCCTGTAGGCCAGAGAGGGAGCAAGAGGCCTGAACTGATGGGCGCAGGGCCCTTAGGACAGTGCCCGGCCCATGGTGACTGAAGATGAGCCAGGAGCCCCAGTAGCAGTCCTATTTGAGGGGGGCTGGGGTGGAGTGTAGGAAGGAAAGGGAGTGGGGTAAAAGGAAAAGGAAGGGGGTGAGTGAGGGGTGGAGGTGGGAACCTGCCTCCTGGAACTCAGGGGCATGGCCACCCCTCCTGTCATGGATCAGCAGTGCCCAGGTGGCCTGTCACGAACCCTGGAACAAGGTGGGACAGAGAGGACTTCCCGGAGGAGGTCTCCCGGGCTGGCAGGTGCGGCCAGGGCGACAACTCTTCGTGTCCCCCCAGGTTCTCCGTGAACTTCGCGGTGGGTCAGGGCCCAGGGTCCGACATCGCCTTCCACTTCAATCCCCGCTTCGATGGCTGGGACAAGGTGGTCTTCAACTCGCAGCAGGGCGGCCAGTGGGGCAGCGAGGAGAAGAAGCGGAGCATGCCCTTCCGCAAGGGCTCCCCGTTCGAGCTGGTGTTCATGGTGCTGGCGGAGCACTACAAGGTCGGTGCGGCCTGGCCCGGCCCCTCCCTCCCCCTCCCTCTCCCCCCCCCTCTCCCCCCCTCCTTCCCACCCGTCCTGTTCCCCCCTCCTTCCCTTCCCCCCTCTCTCCCTCCTCCCTCATCCTTTTTCTTTTTCCTTCTTTCCTGCCCATTAAAAATGTTCTCTTTATTTATTTATTCTCATCCTCATTCCTGCACCTACCATGTTAACGTGTATCACCTGCCCTCGCCCTGTCCCCTGTCCGCGGAGAACCCTTGGCAGCTCCGCCCGGCCACTCACACCTTTCCTCCCGAATATCTCAAAGCGCAGCCCAGCTGTCACAGTGTCATTCACAAAGACGGCAGTGTTTGTCGACAGTCATGCTGCCCTGACCACACCTGGGAAACGGACAGTCCCTGCTTCGTGTGGCCACACAGCCACGAGAGCCTTGTCTGTCTTCTCCAGTTTGTTTGAATCGGGGTGCAAATGAGACCCATCCATGTGACTAGTTGCTATTGTGCAAGTATTTTTTTTATCTTTTTTTTTTTTTGGTATGTTCCCTTAGCAGGAACCGAACCTGGGATTCTCTGGTCCACAGGCTGACGCTCCAACTGCTGAGCCAAACCGGCCAGGGCGAGTATTTTTTTAAAATATATGTTTCTATTGATTTGAGAGAGAGAGGAAGGGAGAGGGAGAGAGAAACATGGATGTGGGAGGAAAACATGAAACGTCCATCCGCCTCCTGCACACCCGCCGCTGGGGATCCAACATGAAACCTAGGCACGTGCCCTGACCCAGAATCTAACCCACGACCTCTTGGTGCGTGGGTCAACGCTCAACCACTGAGCCATGCTGGCTGGGCTGTGCAGATATTTTTTATGTGTCACTGAAGTGTGACCCAGGTACAGAAAAGTGCATGCCTTGTGTACACAGCTCACTTGATTTTTCACAAAGAGAACACACCCATGTAATCGGCACCTAGGTCCAAACACAAACCCCTTCCAGTCCCAGAAGTCCCCTCCTGTCCCCCCCAGTCCCAGAAGCCCCCAGGGGTGGCCTTTATTTGGCTGCTCTCAGCCTGTATCTATTTCTCTGCCTTTGTGTTTTTAAGTATGTGTGTGTGGCCTCAGTGCTGTGCTGTCCCCTTCTGCTTCTGCCCCTCACTGCTGTCACACCTGGTCTGCGCCTTCTGATGCTCCTGCGGGTCTCCTGGCCTCCCCACTCCGAGTGTATTCCACCCCCGGGTCCGGATCCCCATAAATGACACTGAGCAGACACCTGTGCACGTGTCCCACGTGAGCCCTGCGGGGAGCCCCCTGGAGGGGAACTGCAGGGCTGGGCTCCCACCTGGACTCCATCCGCCCTCATATGGGCCCAGATTTCTAACCTCATCTCCGGAGTTCAGCACCGTGGTTGGAAGCTGCACCGACAGGGACGGAGTTTGGGCTCTGCCACTCCCCAGTGTGTGACCTCAAGCTGGCCACTCTATCCCCTGGAGCCTCTGCTGTCTTGAACATCAGGGACAATCCTTTGTCCTGCCTCACGGAGCTGTGAGAAAATCAACGTGCTGGTGTCACCAGGGAGGGCTTAGCACGGAGCAGCAGCCACGTGGTCCTGCCGAGCCAGCTCTCGGCCACGGCCACTGCTCAGCACCGTGCCTCCGACATGCTTTGCTGGGTTTTAACCTTCCCAACAATCCCACAGAGAGCCCCCATTTTACAGATGAGGAAGCAAAGTCTCAGAGAGGTGAATTGATTTACCTGAGGTCACACAGCAAAGATGTGTCAGAGCGAGACCTCCAACCCAACTCATTTGGTGCTCAAATGAGACTTCGACTGGAGTGTCTCCTGATTTCCACCCCCAGACTACATTCTGTGTTCCCTCCTGTCTACCAGTCTGTGAGCTGACATTTGACCCCAGCTTGACCTCTGACTCTGAGGCTATTCCAGCTCACCCCCCGAGACTTTTGACTCCATGTTCAAAAGACCCCTGTTCCCTGCTTCCTGTCTCTACTGTCCCCAGGTCATGGGTGCTGACTTTGACCTCACCCTGCCCTCCAGGTGGTGATAAATGGAAATCCATTCTATGAATTCGGGCACCGGCTGCCTGTACAGATGGTCACCCACCTGCAAGTGGACGGGGACCTGGAGCTTCAATCAATCAATTTCATTGGAGGCCAGCCGGCCTCAGACCAGGTGTGTAGGGTTTCCTGCTCTTATTTGCTTCCTTTTTTTTTTTCTTCTTTCAATTTATTGATTTTAGATAGAAGAAGGAAGAGAGAGAGCAAAAGACATCAATTTGTTGTCCCACTATTTATGCATTCATTGTTTGATTCTTGTGTGTACCCTGACTGGGGATGAAACCCACAACCTTGGCGTATCGGGATGATGCTCTAACCCACTGAGCTGCCCGCCTGGGCTGCTTCCTTCTTTAACGAATTCATTCCCACGTTCCTTTGTTTCCTGGCACCCTTTGCTGGGTGCCGCTCTTTGACCCCGGAGTTCCCTGGGTGGCGCTGGCGCCCCAGGGCAGGCCTCCCTGACCACCCTCCAGGCCCTATCTGGAGTCTCTCTCATCACCTCCTTTCCCTTTGTGTCCACAGACCCCCATGGTTACTCCGGCGTACCCAGTAAGTACCTGCTGGTGGGTGACAAGTGTCCCCTCGAGGTGAGGGTTGGTGGCTGAGGAGGTCCTGGGGCAGCCGAAGGACGCCAGTCCTTTTCAGTGTTCCTGCCCTTCTTCTGTCCGTGTAGGACCTGGGACAGAATTACAACCCCCCGCTGAATAGCCTGCCTGTAAGTGGGAGGGCGGGGCGGTGGTGGGGAAGGAGACTCAGGCGGGTCAGAGAGGCCGGCCCCAGGGGAACTGACCCAGCACCTAGAGATGCACCTCGGTGTGTCCTAAACATGTGTTGAATATTACAGAACAATATCTCTTCTTCCTCACTTCACAGACCATGGAGGGACCCCCAACCTTCAACCCGGTAAGGAGCCCTGCAGTTAGGGCTCTGTGGTGGAGAAGCGGGAAGTGGGGGTGTTAGGGGCCCTGATCCACCGGGAGCCCCCGAGAGGGCGGGGGGTTGGGGGTGGAAAATGGGAAGAAGGAGGAATTGGTGGGCAGGGTGGGGCAGGGGCCAGGGGCTGGGGACATTTCCCAGGAAGAACAGGGGCCCCTCTCTGAAAATCTGCCCTTGCATCTGACTTCTGGTGACCCGAGAGATGACGGGACCCCATGTTCTCTTTTCACAGCCTGTGCCTTTCACGGGAAGACTGCAGGGGGGGCTGACAGCCCGAAAAACCATCATCGTCAAGGGCTATGTGCCCCCCACGGGCAAGAGGTACAGAACTGGGACGGAGGCGGGCCCCTCAGCTTCCCCCCAGCCCCCAGTCCCCCCCTCCCTTGGGGAGCCAGGTGCTGGCCGCCTTCTGACTCCCATCTCCCTCTCTGTCCCCAGCTTTGCCATCAACTTCAAGGTGTGGTCCTCGGGGGACGTGGCTCTCCACATTAACCCCCGCCTGAGCGAGGACATCGTGGTTCGGAACAGCTACCTGAATGGCTCGTGGGGGTCCGAGGAAAAGAAGCTCACCTACAACCCGTTTGGCCGTGGCCTGTTCTTTGATGTGAGTCTGGCTCCCTGTCCCCTGCCCTCCCAGCGCCTCTGTCCTGGCTGTGGCCTCATGCTGCCCCTCTTCCCGCAGCTGTCCATCCGCTGCGGCATCGATCGCTTCAAGGTCTACGGCAACGGCCAGCACCTCTTCGACTTCTCCCACCGCCTCCCGGCCTTCCAGAGGGTGGACACTGTGGAGATCGAAGGCGACGTCACCTTGTCCTACGTCCAGATGTGATCTATTCCTGGGACCATAACCCCTGGGAACACACAGAGAAAGACCGAAGAAGACTCCCTTCTAAACCCCCAATAAACTGTCTGAGTGTCTAACGAGTGTCCGTGACTCCGTTCACTGTCCCACCACTGTTCCTTCATTCCTTGGTTCAGTCACACACTGTCCGTTCAGCCATCCGATGATCTGTCCAGCCATCCTCCCATTATAATAAATCTAGGTACCTCAGTGCCCCGAACACTGATCTGGGGTCTTCTGTGTATCCACTCATTCTCTCCTCATAGAAATTATAATCCAAAATCAAGAATGAGCATCAATAGCCCCGGTTGGACGGCTCAGCTGACTGGAGCGTCGTCCCCTACACCACAAGGGTTGCGGGTTTGATTCCTGGTCAGGGCACATCCCTGGGTTGCAGGTTTGATCTCTGGTTGGGGCACATATGGGAGGCAACTGATTGATGTCTCTCTCTCTCTCTCCCCCCCCCATCCTCTCTCTCAAATCAATAAAAGCAACAACATATCCTCAGGTGAGGATTTAAAAAAAAAAAAAAAGGAATGAACACCACTAATGACCCTATAGAAAATACAAAGGATTACAAGAAAATATTGTGAAAAGTTTAGGCCAAAAAATCAGTCAACTTAGACAAGGATAACAAATCCCCAGGAAGTCAGAAATTATCTAAGCTGACTAGAAAGACATGGAAAATGTTTTTTGCTCCATAGAAACAGTCATAAAATTTTCCTAGGAATATTAATTACAATGTATTTAAAAATAGAAAAGACCTAGAGTAATCAAAACAATTTTGAAAAGAAAGAATACTTACACTTCATGATTCCAGACTTTCCATAAAGCTTCGGGGACCAGAATGTAGCACTGGTATAAGGAGAGACACATAGATCAATGAATCAGAAATAAGCGCACACATAATGGTCAATTCATTTATTATTATTTTAAAATATGTTTATTTTTAGAGAGAAAGGAAGGGAGAGGGAGAGAAACATCAATTAGCTGCCTCTTGCACGCCCTCTACTGGGGATCAAGCCAGCAACTTGGGCATGTGCCCTGAGCAGGAATTAAACTGGTACCTCTTGGTACATAGGATAATGCTCAATCCACTAAGTCACACTAGCCAGGGCAGTGGTTTGTTTATTTATTTATTTATTTATTTATTTATTTATTTATTTATTTATCCCCTTATTGATTTTTAGAGAGAGGAAAAGAGAAGGAGAGAGAGAGAGAAACATCGACGAGAGAGAACATCGATTGGCCGCCTCCTGCACTGCATGCCCCCCACTGAGGAAGGGCCCACACCCTGGGCATGTGCCCTGACCGGGAGTCTAACAGGTGACCTCTTGGTGCATGGGTCGACGCTCAACCACTGAGCCGCACCAGCCGGGCCAATTTATTTTTGACAAAAAGCTGTCAAGGTAATTCAATGGGGCAAAAGACAGTCATTTCAACATATCGTGAGAAATGAACCACCCTTACACCATACACAAAAATTAACAAAATGGATCAAGACATAACATAAATGCTAAAAACAGCTAGGAAAAAAGCACAAAAAATAACATTTGTAAAATGAGATGGGAAAATATTTCTTTTTAAAAAACTATTGATCGATTGATTTGAGAAAGAGAGGAAAGGAGAGGGAGAGAGATAATTTGTTGTTCCACTTATTCATGCATTCATTGGTTGGTTCTTGTATGTGCCCTGACCGGGGCTCGAACTCAAAATCTTGGCGTATCAGGACATCGTTCTAACCAACTCAGTTACCCAGCCAGTTCAAGATTTCTTAACTAGGATACAAAGGCACAAGCAGTAGTAGATAATTTCTCCCCAAATGTATAAAGTATATAAACTATTACAGAAAATAAATAGGCTGGAAGGAAACACACACATATTAACAGTGACTATTAGCTGGATCATGAAATTGGGGCTGATTTCAATTTTGTTATTAAAAACTCTGGAATAGCCCTGGACTGTTTGGCTCAGCGGTTAGAGCATCAGCCTGCGGTCCAGAGAGACCCGGGTTCGGTTCCCTCTAAGGGCGTGTACCTCAGTTGCAGTTTGTCCCCGGCCCTGGTTGGGTCGTGCGGGTGGCAGCCACTCGATGTGTCTCACATCAATGTTTCTCTCTCTCTCTCTCCCTCCCACTCTATCTGAACAAAAAATGGAAAAATGTTCTCGGGTGAGGACAAAAAAAAAAAAACAACAACAAAAAACTCTCTAATAGCCTGGCCGGTGTGGCTCAGTGGTTGAGCATCGACCCATGCACCAAGAGATCGCCAGTTCGATTCCCAGTCAGGGCACATGCCCAGGTTGTGGGCCCATCCCCAGTGGAGGGCATGCAGGAGGCGGCCAATCAATGTTCTCTCTCATCGATGTTTCTATCTCTCTCTCTTTCTCTTTTTCTCTATCTCTAAAATCAATAAAGAAAAAAAAAAAGATGGAGAACTTAAAAAAACAATAACTCTGGAATAAGCATACATACATTTTGTAACCAGAAAGAAAATTATAAAAAGAGTAAAAGTTGCCCTGGCCGGTTTGGCTCAGTGGTTAGAGCGTCGGCCTGCGGTCCAGAGAGACCCGGGTTTGGTTCCCGCTAAGGGCACATACCTCGGCTGCAGTTTGTCCCCAGCTCTTGTTGGGTCGTGTGGGTGGCAACCACTCGACGTGTCCCTTTCACGTCAATGTTTCTCTCTCTCTCTCTCCCTCCCACTCTATCTGAACAAAAAATGGAAAAAATGTCCTCAGGTGAGGATTAAAAAAAAAAGGGTAAAAGCTACAGGCTGACATCGGTCCCAGGACTCCCTGAAGTACGGTTTGTGGTGGATGCTGTGTGTCCTCCGCAATGGAGCACTGAAGTGAAGTGAATGAAATAGGAGGGGTGGGGACCGGGAGGAGGGTGTCAACCGGGAAAAGAGGAAAACCATCTGTAATAAAAATAAATTAATTTTTAAAAAGTGAAGTCAGACACATATAAATTGCTAAGTGTCAAAAATGAGGTCAGTGGGTGGAGGATGCTACGGCTTGTGCAATGAGGGCAGAGAAACTGTGTATGGGTGTGTTTACGGAAGATTTTTTGGAAAGATACACAAGAAATGAAGGTGTAGGGAACAGTAGTTTACTCTCATAAAGGAGGACTTTCTTACCCTGGCCGGTTTCACTCAGTCGTTAGAGCGTTGACCTGTGGTCCAGAGAGTCCCGGGTTCGGTTCCATGTATCTCGGTTGTAGTTTGTCCCCGGCCCCGGTTGGGGTCGTGTGGGGGGCAACCAGTCTATGTGTCTCTCATATCGATGTTTCTCTCTCTCTCTTTCCCCCTCTCTCCCTCCTGCTCCATCTGAAGATAAATACAAAAATGTCCTCAGATGAGGACAAAAAAAAAAAAGGACTTTCTTGTGTGTGTGTGTGTGTGTGTGTGTGTGTGTAACATTTTAAAAATTTATTCTGAAATGAATTTACAAATTTGCTACTAGAAACACATAATTATTTGTTTGTGATCAGATAAGAGTTCTTTATATTTTCTGGATATAGTCCTTTGTCAAATCTATGTCCCGTGAATATTTACTCCTCGTCTGTGGTGAGCCTTTTCATTATCTTAACAGTTTGTTTCTCAGAGGTTAAGGCTTTAGTTGTGATGAAGTGCATTTTATCACCTCCACTGTTGAGGCAATGGGATGGGTCCGAGGACCCCAACCACCTTCCGGCTGTGCCAATAACTGTACTTTCCAGAGCATAGTTCTGAAATTTGTACCATGTGTACATGTTATCTTTACGAAATTGAAAAAATATGTATTTATAATACTCGACATACAAATAAAAGTAAAAACTAAGTTATTCAACAGCAAGCCCTGGAGGACCAGGGGAAATCAGGGTTTCTCAGGCTGGAAGAGGGGACCCCTTGTGAAAAGCTAACATAAGTGGAGACATTTTTGTGTCTGTGTCAATAAAAGTTTTAGGACTCTCTTTACATGTTTTTTAAAAATCCTCACCTGAGGACATGCTGAGAGAGAGACAGAGAGAGAGAGAAACATCAATCAGTTGCCTTTTTCTCCCCTTTATTGATTTTAGAGAGAGAGGAAGTGAAAGAGAGGGAGAGATAGAATCATCGATGAGAGAGAGCATCAATTAGCCGCCTCCTGTATGCCCTCCTCTGGGGATCAGGCCCACAACCTGGGCATGTGCCCTGACCGGGAACCGAACAGGCGACCTCTTGGTGCAGGGGTTGATGCTCAACCACTGAGCCACACTGACCGGACAATCAGTTGCCTTTTGTACGTGCCCAGACAAGGGAATGGAGCAGCAACTTGGGCATATGCCCTGACTGGGAATCTGGCAACCTTTTGGTGCACAGGACGATGCTCAACCAACTGAGCTGTTTGGGCTGGGCCTTCACATACACATACACACTCACAATCAAGGTAATAACACTAGTAGTTTCACTTTAATACAAATTATTTAGAGAACTCTTACATTTCAGACATGGATATACAAACACACACACATATACACATATATGTGTGTGTGTATATATATGTATATATATATAATTTTATTCTTTTTTTATCTAGAGACATTGATAGTGACTCCCTCGATGACAGATGTGCAGCTAGTTCGACCCGGAACTCATGAGAATAATTGTCCTGGTTCAGATCCTCATGTTCTCTCTTGCTGCACTGATACTACTGTATCAGACAGATAACAGAGGAGACAGGTGGCCAAAGATAAGGTCTCCCAGCTCCTCCATAATTGTGTCTTATGACTTCTAGGTTGTTTTTAAGGCCAATGGCAAGCTCCTCATTGCTTCACAGTGAGTGACTATGTCAGAAGTCCCTCCACTCGGGTTGGGCGGTGATGAGTGATAATTCCAGAAGCTGGTAGCGGTCCAAAAGGTTTGGGACTTCGTATTTTGACAGCTACCCTCTGGTGCAGAAACAGATATGTCCTGTGTACCATAACTCTTTAGTTCTGTGTCTTTTGGGATATTTCTTCTAATATCTTTAAATTCACAACCCGGAGGAGCACATACACCACGACACCAAGATTACTTACCCGTGACAGGGGTAGCCGTGCTATCGAAATTGGAGTCTATTCATTTTCAGTAACCTACTTTTGCACCACCCTGTATATATTTCCATTTTGATGAGTCAAAGTTCATTTGTTTGCAATTAATTAAGTCGCTTCCTTGCTGGCGGCCTCAAGTGCAACCATTTTATTTTATTTTTTTATTTTTCCTTATTGATTTTAGAAAGAGAGGAAGGGAGAAGGAGAGATAGAAACATCGATGAGAGAGAACATCAATCAATTGGCCGCCTCCTGCATGCCCCCACTGGGGATCGGGCCCACAAGCTGGGCCTGTGCCCTGACTGGGAATCGAACTGGCAACCTCTTGGTGCATGGGTCCACGCTCAACCACTGAGCCACACCGGCTGGGCAAGTGCAGCCATTTTAAAAGGGAGCAGCCCTCACAAGAGGAACTGCCTGGCCTGTGTTATTCCCTGAACCTTTGAAATGTTTGAACAGGGTAAAATAACCTTTGGACTGGGCCAAACCAACATTGCCTCTTACAAGCAAACAACCCTTAGGAAAGCAGAAGTCCTGGCCACAAGGACTGATAATTCTGGACATTCTTCCTAATCAGTAACCACACCCCATAGCTAGAGTAACTTAGCTGGCTAGCTCCAGTGGGAATTTCTTCTATCCATGTAATTATTTCCCTTCTTTTTTCTTTTCTTTTTTTATCCTCACAGGAGGACATTCTCCCATCTTTTGTACAGATAGAGTAGGAGGGAGAGAGAGAGAAACATCGACATGAAAGGGACACATGGAGTGGCTGCCACCCACACAACCCAACCAGGGCCGGGGACAAACTGCAACCGAGGTACATGCCCTTAGCGGGAATCAAACCCGGGTCTCTCTGGACCGCAGGCCAAAGCTCCAACTGTCCAGCCAAACCGGCTAGGGTTTCCCTTCTTTTTTCTTTGACATCCATCGCCTTCACCCTAAACTCCAGACACCATTAGGGTGGGTTTCTAAGCAGATCTATGCCCCAGCTGCAAGTCTCTGATTTCCAACGCTTATGCTTATTGACTCTCATTTTTGCTTTTTTAAATTTATTTGTTGATGTATGTATGTATGTGTGTATTTATTTATTTATTTTTAGGGTAACTCATGAGAGAGGTACTCTCACGGGCCAGGCCTGAGGTGGGTGGCTTCAGAGAAACAGGTTCTGAAAAGTGTCAAGCCCACGGCGGGGCCTGGTCGTCCAACCAGCCAACACTCTAAATCGGGTTAAGCCGGGAACCAGACTGCGCGGTGGGCCCGGCCTGCAGCCAGAAGGTCTGTCACGAGGCGCGCGGGTTCCGGCCTGCAGCCGGGAGGAAAAACGGACATCTCGGAGAACCCAGGCCCGACCACGGTGCGGGGCTCCATCCACACGCCGAAGGGCCTCGCGGAGGGTACGGGGGTTCGGGGTGCTCGTTACCCCCACCCGTACCCCAAAGGCCATTTGTGCTGACTCAGCGACCCCCCTGATGTCAGAAAATCGCCCCCAGGCAGTGGGACGTGAGCTGGTGGACCCTAGAGGGGAGAAGCGTGGGCATGGAGCCCGCTTCCACAGCGGGGACACAGGAGCCCAGCCCTTCGTGTCCCTGTCCCCTCCGCGGGACACCTGCTGCTTTTCAGTATGCGTCTGCCCCGGGGTGCACGCAGGTGGGGGCTTGTCCCGACAGGGGACCGATGGGAGGCTGGCGACGCCCGATCCACTTCCCTGCCCCTGCCCCACCCGAGCGTTTCTAGGCCAGGGGAGCGCGGAGAGAGGAGGACCAGAGAGCAGGGTCCGGGGCCGAGAGATTTCGTGCCCCATCTCCGCGAGGTCGGGGTCTCCCACGGACCAGGCGTGTGGGGCCTCGTTGCCCTGTTTGCAGGTGGACAGGTGTGGGGCTCCGTTAGGTCCGCGGATGGGGCACCAAGGGAAGGCTTGAGTCCTCAAAACTCCACCGGATCCCGCAACAGCTGACCACCTGCTGCTTTGCGAAGCGATTGGGGATAGACGGGAGGCCACGCCCGATCCTCCTTCAGCTGGAGCGTCTCGGGCACCCCGAGGCCAGGGGGGGCACGGAGACGTGGGGACCAGAGGCCGCATGCCCCATCTCCGCACAGTCCCAGGGACCAGGCAGTGGTTTGCCAAGTGCTGCAGCAAGACCTGCCCGGGACCCGGCCCTGCGGCTCGCGACCCTCCGCACTCAGACAGCAAGGGCCTGGCAGATCCACCCCGGGATCGCGGGGGACCCGAGGCAGTGTCCTCCCCTCTCGGAACCGCTCCCCTCGTCTGCGCGAAGGAGACACAGACACCAGGAGGCGCCCAGATGCGGGGCTAAGAGTTTATTTGCCGTCCAGGTCCGGACCCGCGAGCGCTCAGAAGACCTTCACCGACTCCAGCTGCAGGTCGCCGCCCACCTCCAGCAGGCGCACGCGCTCCGCCGGGATGCGGTAGCGGAACAGGTGGAATTCCGAGTCCCCGACCACCGCCTGCGGGCAGGGGCGTGCTGACGGTCGGTCGGGGTGCCCAGGCCACCGCGGCTGCTCCCCACCCGGGCCCGCGCCTGTGACCTGGGCGACCGCGCAACCCGCCGGGCCCCGGGCCCCAGGGGGAGAATGGGCGAATGTGCCCGTCACCCCGTGTGCGGGGGGTGCGGGGAGCGACCGCTGGCACCCGAGCGCTTTGACAGCGTCGGCGGTGCGTGTTACTAGCGAGCCCGGTGGTGACGCTGGGTGGTGGAGAGTCTGCAGGGAACACTCCCTCGGGGACTTGCCCCTGTGCCCTGTCTCCCAGCCCATCCTTGCCCCTGCCACGGAGCCCCGACCTCAGGCGCAGATGAACAGGGAGTGGGGTCTGTGTGGAAGTCGGGGCCACGCATTCCCGCTAGAACACCCACACTCTGGGCACCTCTGCTCGCTTCGTCCTTGTCCTGTACATACCTGCCCTTCTGACACACCTGAGGTTGCACCGTTGCACCATGGGAGCCAGAGGGACTGAGGACACGCCCAGCCTTGGCCACGCCCATGCCCCCATCCTCCACCACGGGCCTTGCTGGCCTCCCCCAACCACAGGAGGGACCTGGGTGTCTTGGAGCCCACCCCTGTGGCAGAGACGCACCTTGAAGCCTTCTGGCGCAGCGATGAGGAACAAGTCGAAGGGCTGCCCACGCTGAAAGGGTAGGCCACGGCCTCGCTCCTCCTTGCCCCAGGTTCCCCCCTCCTTGGTGTTGAAGACCACCACCGACTGGTCCATCCGGGGGTTGAAATGCAGGGCAGCCTCGGCTCCCTCCTGGTCGCTGCACAGCAGGTTCACATGAAACCTGGTGATGGGAGGATGGGGGTGGGGCGTGGAGAGGAATAGCTGTCAAGAGCCATGAACCACCCAGACCAAGGTCAAGGGCCAATGAATTAAGACTCATCATTGAACAAACCCAAATTACAGGGACCTGAGTATGTCACACAGCACAGAAGGAAGGGTTGTGGCCTGGTGGACAGGGAACCCAGATTCCAGGCGGGCCAGTTATGAACACACATCCACCGAGCACGGATGACAGTGCTGTGGCCTGCGTTGCCTTCACATCCACAGTCTGGGAGTTGGCAAGGAGTCATGGTGCTGATGGCCAGAGTGCTTCTAATTCCTAGGGCACCCCCAGGTCCCAGAGAACAATACCAGGGACCCCAGTATTTACAGACACCCTAGGTTCTCATGGAGCCTGAAGTTCCTGGGCCCAGGAAGCCGTACAATCGGTTGCTTAGGCTCTCAGATGCCCAGGGCACCTCCGAATCACAGGACACATCGCCAGGTCCCTGGTGACTCAGTTTGGAAGTCATAGAACTATAGGTAGGAACCCTGAAATGACTTTGGAACCCCAGATTCTTAGAGACCCCTACCCCAAAATCAGGGGACAGAATTGTGAAAACATCAGATTCCAAAAACTTTATAATGACCTGGGAATTCCAAACCGTGGTGGACAAAGGTGGCCCTGGGGTCTTCATCTCTGGGCTCTAAGAGTCAGTCAGCTGGGATGAGACCCCCCACCCCTTGCCTCCGGAACTTGGGGTCACACTGGAGTCTCACCTGCCAGCTTTGTCGGGGACAACACCACGGATTCTCATCACGGTGCCCACTCTGACACCCTCGGGCAGTGAGGTCTTGTGGGGCACGTTCTGCAAGAGCCCGGGTGGGAGGGGCCAGTGAACCAGGGAGACCAGGGACAGGGACAGATGCCCCCCACCCTCACGGGAGCAAACACCCAGGTCCCAGGCCAGCATCATCAGAGATAAGAAAGGCTCAGGGAGAACAAAGAGAGTCAGACACAGGGACAGAGTTGTTAACAGAAAATATTCAGAGACACCAAGAGGACAAGAGAGCATCGGGGTGGTGGGTCCCCCCACCCCACAAAGGCAGCGCCCAGACACTTGACAACACAACCCACCACCCACTTTCTCCTTTGAAACAGGAGACCTCAGCCAGGCCCCAGCCCCTCCCCTAGTCTAGTGCAGCCTGGGGTCCATGAGCCCCAACCCTCAGGCCCAGAACACTCACAGAGCTTCCTGCCATGGCTGGGATGGTGGGACAGATGGTGGCGGTGGGGATGGCTGCGGGAACCTTAAGTAAAAACAGGGTGTGGCTGAGCCTGATGACTCACCGACATCTCTCCACTCCCACCACCCACACCTGGCACAGACCCTGGCCCTGGGGCCTGGGTGGCCAAACCCTCCCTGTGTGCCTCTCACCCTTCTCCAGTCTGTGGGTCCCAGGCTAGCTGGCCCTTTCCTTTCAGATAGTAATTATAGAGGCCGTTAACAACACCAACAATAATAATGATAACCACAAAAACGGAAGGCTCATTGAGCCACCATTCACCAGCCCTATCGTCCTGGCGGAGAGAATTCTCTCATTTTGTCGTGGAAAACGAGTCTTCAAGGCTAAGTTGGGGTTTGAAACGCTGACCCCTCTCTCCCAGGTTAGGACCATCTGTGTTGTGTCTCCCGAGAAATTCCCGTTTGTGCCTCTACACTGTAGGGATAACCATGCAACAACACCAACACTAAAAAGAAAGCTCTCAGGGCAGGGTTTCTGCCTGATGTTCAAAGCCCTGAACTGGTGCCCAGGGCCTGGCACACAGTAAGTGCTCAGTAAATAGGGATGAAAAAAAGAAAGAAAGCCCTGGCTGGTTTAGCTCAGCCGTTAGAGTGTCAGCCTGCGGACTGAAGGGTCACAGGTTCGATTCCCGGACAAGGACACATACCTGGGTTGCAGATTTGATCCCTGGCCACAGGTGGGAGGTAACCAATCTATGTGTGTGTCTCTCTCTCTCCCTCCCTTCCACTCTATCTGAAAATCAATGGAAAAATACCCTTGGTGAGGATTAACATAACAGAAAAGAAAAACCGCCTTGGCCGGTTTGGCTCAGCAGTTAGAGCATCAGAGAGACCCAGGTTCGGTTCCTGCTAAAGGCGCGTACCTTGATTGCAGTTTGTCCCTGGCCCTGGATGGGTCGTGCGGGTGGCAACCACTCGATATGTCCCTATCATGTTTTTTTTCCTTTTTTTTTTTGTTCAGGTAGAGTGGGAGAGACAGAGAGGAACAGAGAGAGAGAGAAACATCAATGTGAAAGGGACACATCGAGTGGCTGCCACCCGCACGACTGACCAGAGCCGGGGACAAACTGCAACCGAGGTACATGCCCTTAGCGGGAACCGAACCCGGGTCTCTCAGGACCACGGGCCGACGCTCTAACCGCTGAGCCAAACCGGCCAGGGCTGTCCCTATCATGTTGATGTTTCTCTCTCTCTCTCTCTTCCTCTCTCTCCCTCCCACTCTATCTGAACAAAAAAAAAAAAAGGAAAAAATGTCCTCGGTGAGGATAAAAAAAGAAACAGAAAAGAAAAACCAACAACAGCTGCCATTACTAAGCCTCTGGGTCTGGCCAGCCTATGCCAGAAATCAGTGATGCTCACACATGCCACTGAGGGACAGGCATGGATCTCCTCATTTTACAGACAGGGAAACTGAGGCTCAGAAGAGAAAGCAATTTGCCCGAAGCACACAGCTGTGCGATACTCAGGTGACTGTCTCCGGCTTCCGACATCTCCGAAGTTCTGTCTTGTTTATTCTGTCTCTGTGAATGCCTTCCTCTCTGTCACCCTGTCCCTGACTCTGCCTTCCATGTGTTCCTGTCCTGTACTCTCTCCTGTTCCTCATCCCAGATCTATGGCCACTCTCCTACCTAGTTTCAGGACAAGGGGTAGAGGGGGTGTCCTAGGAACCGCCCATCCCAGACCAAGGGACAGAACACGGGGCCCTCCATCCAGGCCTCTTTCCAGCCACCATAGCCCAGGACTCTAGAGAAATACAGGGTGGGAAGGGGGGGGGGCAGGGAGTGCGGAGATGGTTCTGGAAGAGGGAGTGTGGGGGAACTAGGAAGACACCCCTCCTACAGCCCTCCCTTAGGTTCCACCCCCACTGTCACCCCACAGGGGAGAGATGCGTCAGAAAGGAGGAGGGAAAATGGGTGGAGACAATCAGACTCAGTACCTAGTCTACTGCCCTCTGACTCCCTCCAGACCTCCCGACCCCGAACCCCTCAACACACAAGGACGTACCCCGGTTCTGGTGCAGAAGGGGAACAGGCACCCTGGGGAGGGAGGATGAGCAACTGCACTTAGATGAGGGTTGCAGGCTCCCCACTGGGCAGAGGAGAAAACTCAGGCCCAGAGAGGGGCAGCCTCTCAGCCAAGGCAGCCCAGCAAGGAAGGGCCCGGCCTGGACTGGCGACCGGGACTGTGTGCCAAGGACATGACATCGCACTGGAAACAGAGGACAGTGGGGCTGGGGTCAGGGCACCAACACTCAGGGCGCAGACGGTCCCAGGATGATGGATTCCAGGGCTCTTCCCACAAGGCAGCTGTTTCTGCCCCCGGCTGCCTGCTGGTCCCAGCACAGGTCTGCTCCCCATTGCCTCACTGGGCTGCGTTTCCACAGGCTGCCAACCTGCAAGTCCAAACGTGACTGCTGTGCAGCCCGTGTTTCCATGCGGTCTGCTGTCAGCGTGATTTCTGGCTTCTGTCTGATAACTCAGACGTGCGCGTCCTTGATGAGTCGCATTCATTTGTGCGGATTATCTTCACGTCGGTGCGGGAAACACATTTCAAGAGCTTTGTGTCTCCTTCCCAAATAAGTAGCGAATGTGACCATTTCCCAACGCTCTCCTCCCAGCTCTGCTCACACTCCCAAACCGCGCGCATGCAACAGAGCACTGTGGCCAGTTTGTGGGACACGTCGTCGGAGACCTGAGCCACCCCAATCCCTCTTCTCCGGGTCCCCACAACAGCCCCTCCACCTGCCCCAGGCCGCCAGTCAACAGCCTCACAGTTCATTTGCCATGAAAATAAACAAGGGGCCCTGGCCGGTTTGGCTCAGCCGTTGAGCGTCGACCTGCGGACCAGAGAGTCCCGGGTTTGGTTCCCGCTAGGGGCACAGACCACAAAAAATAAATAAATAAATAAATAAATAAATAAATGAAGTCAAAGGTGTTAAAAAAAAATAAAAAAATAAAGAAGGGGGTGGAGCAGGCCAGGTCGGCTGGCTTTCCCCCTCCTTCTGGAAAGAGTCTGCTCATTGTACCCACAGTGGTTGTGGGAGTTGAAATCCCACGCTCTGTCTGTATCAGCTTCTTGGTGACTGGCTGGTTTTTGTACACAGTGAAGATAATCCAAGGGCTGCTTTGGTTTTGCTAATGAACTTTCAAATTAAAAACACGATAGATACATTAAAAAACCTGAGGTTTTCTTTTAAAAACATGTTTTTTGAAAAACTAACAAACAGCCCTGGCCGGTTTGGCTCAGCGGTTAGAGCGTCGGCCTGCGGTCCAGAGAGACCCGGGTTCGGTTCCCGCTAAGGGCACGTACTTCGGTTGCAGTTTGTCCCCGGCCCTGGTTGGTCGTGCGGGTGGCAGCCACTCGATGTGTCCCTTCACGTCGATGTTTCTCTCTCTCTCTCCCTTCCTCTCTCTCCCTCCCACTCTATCTGTACAAAAAATGGAAAAATATCCTCGGGTGAGGATAAAAAAAAAAAAAAAAAAAAAAAAGAAAAACTAACAAACAAAACAACAACAACAACAATAAGCCCTGGCCAGTTTGGCTCAGCGGTTACAGTGTTGGCCTGCGGTCCAGAGAGACCTGGGTTCGGTTCCCGCTAAGGGCACGTACCTCAGTTGCAGTTTGTCCCCGGCCCCAGTTGGGGTCATGCAGGTGGCAACCAGTCGATGTGTTTCTCTCACATCGATGTTTCTCTCTCTCTTCCTCCATCTCTCCCTCCCACTCTGTCTGAAGATAAATGCAAAAATGTCCTTGAGTGAAGATAAACAAAAAAAAAGACATGTTGCGCCCTGGCCGGTTTGGCTCAGCGGTTAGAGCGTCGGCCTGCGGTCCGGAGAGACCCGGGTTCGGTTCCCGCTAAGGGCATGTACCTCGGTTGCAGTTTGTCCCCGGCCCTGGTTGGTCATGCGGGTGGCAGCCACTCGATGTGCCCCTTTCACATCGATGTTTCTCTCTCTCTCTCTCTTCCTCTCTCTCCCTCCCACTCTATCTGTGCAAAAAATGGAAAAAAAAAATGTCCTCGGGTGAGGATAAATAAAAAAAGACATGTTGCTCTGCATCCATCCTTTCCACCTCCCAGCTCTGTCTCTGCACCCACTAAACAGCCCTCCCTACCCCCCCCTTTCCTAGCCCTTGGCCGCCGCCACCCTACCTTCTGTCCCTGGGAATAGGACTACTCCAGGGACCCGTACGGATGAACCACAGTACGTGCCCGTCTGTGACTGGTGAGTCTATACGGATAAAGAGAAGCAATGCAGATGTGAGTCCATGTGTGTATGTTGAAGGTGGGAAATGTGTCCCCACACAGTAGGCCCTGATGGCACAGGGATTATTTTGACTTCCAAGCACTTGCAAAATGGTAGGTACAGCAAGCAAATTCCTCTCTCCCATTTCTACCTGCAGCCAGGATATGACACTCCCAGGAGAGCCCTGGCCGGTGTGGCTCAGGGTTAGAGCATCGGCCGCGCACCAAAGGGTCTCAGGTTAGATGCCAATCAAGGGCACTACCTGGGTTGCAGATTCAATCTGGCCCCAGTAGGGGTCCTACGGGAGGCAATCAACGGATGTATCCCTCCCGCATTGATGCTTCTCTCTCTCTCTCCCTCCCTTCTACTCTCTCTCTAAAAACAAAGAAACAAACAAACAAAAAACTCCCATAAAAAACCACCCTCCCGGAAGGAAGGTAACATCTTATCATCACACAGAGACCTAGAGGATGGTATACAAACAGGCCCTGTCAAAATTATCCTTATCTTCCTTCAGCCTCCCCGCATATCAGTTTCGTTACTTTTCCACAGTAGCCTCTTTTGTTCAACTTAATAGAAAAGCACGTAGGTTTCACCCTTTACCGGAGTCTTCGTTCCCTCCTGGGGGCTCGGTGTCATGGAAACTTCGATGAATGTGTGTGCGTTTCTCCGTTAGTCTGTCCGGCTGCCAGGCCAGGTTAGTTCTCGGGCCAGCTGAAATGTCTTAGGAGGGCACAGG